GTCTTGGCTCTGCCTTCCTCCTCCCCTCCATTTTTTTCTTAATGACAACAGTAATGCCTTGTACTTCACTGATGTTATATTCCTTCTTTCCTTTTTTTCCCTCTCAGTTAAAAAGGGATTACCAGATTAAAATTACTAGAGAAATGAGTAAGAGTGAAGTTTTTTGTTAGAGTAAAATTCCTAAGTCCCCTGGCTGTGTTGTAGTAGAAAGAACTAGGGATTTGGATTAGGATCAAAATCCTGGCTCTTTAACTTACTATACAGTTATCCCTTCCACATTTCAGGGGTTAGGGGCATGGTGCCTGATCTGAAAAATGTGCATAAAATTTTTTTGGCCCTCCCTTTGTAGCAGAGAAGTCATCTGATTTTTTTCTTTTCCTTTTTCTTTTATGGGGTATTTATAGTACCTTACTGTAAAATTTGGATTAAGTATTTGATCATAGGCTCTGTGTTGTCTGATGGCCTTCACATGTCATCTGCAGCTTCCACAAAACTCCCTCAAAATTCCCATTTAATTTTTTTTTTTTTTTGGCTAGGCAATGGGGTTAAGTGACTTGTCCAGGGTCACACAGCTAGTAAGTGCTGTGTGTCTGAGGTCGGATTTGAACTCAGGTCCTCCTGAATCCAGGGCCAGTGCTCTATCCACTGCGCCACCTACCTGCCCCTCATTTAATTTCTTATGCCAACCCATGATATATCAAAACCTTGATGGGGAAACTTGCGATGTGGATGGGATCATTGTATATGTCCAATTTGAGATGCATGTGGTCCTTACCACTGGCCCTATCTCTACTTTGTTCACATTTCTCCAATTTTTGTTAGACTTTACACAGAATCTTGGAATCTTAAATTCTGAAGGAAACCCAAGAAGCCATCATTTAACCCAACCCCTATTTGAATAAACCACAACCCAATAACATACCCAACAAGTAATTAACTAGCCTTTGTTTGTGGCACCCCAGTGAAGGAGAACCCAAGTCCTTCCAACAGCCCATTCCACTCTTGGGTAGCTGTAGTTATTAGGAAGTTCTTCCTGACATCAAGCTTAAATTTGTCTCTTTGTAACTTATACCTATGGCTCCTTTCCTTGCTCCCTGGGGCCAAACAGAACACGGTCATCCTTCTTCCAACATGATAACCCTTTTTATCCTTGAAGACAGTTATCATGTCCTCTATCTCTACCCAAGTCTTCTCTTCTCTGGGTCAAACATCTCTATGTCCTAAAATCAATACTTATATGGCGTGACCTTGAGGCCCTTCATGATCCTAGTTGCCCTCCTCTGGACATTCTCTAATATCCTTCCTGAAGTAGCATTTTAAAAAATATTATAATGTCCTCATCCTTCAATATATCAATGTCTATTTTGTGGGTATAGACTTCTTTGGAAAATTATAGAATTATAACATTTGTGAGTTGGAAAATTATACAGACTAATTTTACATGTGGAAAGATTTTTCATAAAATTTGGAGTTCTTAGGAAACACCTAAGCCAAGGGTTCTTAACCTAGAGTCTGTGAACTTGTTTTTAAAAAAATATTTATTTTTATGACTGCATTCCAATATAACTGGTTTCCTTTGTATTTTATTTTACACATTTAAAAAACATTATTCTGAGGAGTCCATTGCCGTCATCAGATTACCACTGGGCTCCACGACACAAAAAAGGTTAAAAGCTGCTGTTTGATCTAGGCCAAACTGTTCAGTTTACATATGAGGAAGGTAAGAACTGGAGTGATTAGATGTCTTGCCTAAAATAAGGGTAGTAAATAGCAGTTGTTGTTTGTTGTTGTGGTTGAGTCATTTCAGTTGTGTCCAACTCTTCATGACCCTATTTTGGGGTTTTCTTGGTGAAGATACTGGAGTGGTTTGCCATCTCTTTCTCCAGCGCATTTGACAGATGAGGAAACTGAGGCAGGGTCACACAGCTAGTAAGAACTAGTATTAAGAACCATATCCTCCAACTCCAAATCCAGTTTTCTTTCCACCACGCTAGGCCATATTTCTAGGTTTAACTAGCAAACTACAGATCTGGGAGTGATGAGATGTTATCGTGGTTTGGCCACTAAATTGTTTTGTAACTGAACAAATGCCTTAATTTTCTTCTGCCTCAATTTCCCTGCTGCAATGACGAGCACCAATAGATACATGCTCCCCACTGTAGTAAAGCAGTGTGTCCTCCCCCCCCTTTTTTATGCAGATAGCTTGGGAGATACAGAGCTTAACATTATGAGACACACATTTTTCAGCACCAGACATTTCAGCGCCTGGTATGGTAGGTTAGAAAGATTAATGGCTGCTTTTCAGGAAGACTTACGTAGAGTCCACAGACGACCTTTTCCTGAAGACTTTGCAGAGGCTAGAGTCAAAGAATTTGAGACAGTTCAGGGAGAGGTGAGGTAACCAAGGGGCATCACTGAACTTATGATATGGTAAGGGGCGTATTGAGGGCACCTGTCCATTTACTGGGACAGACAATGTAATAGTGGTAGGAAATGTGGGGAAAATAAATATCTTCCTTGTTACAAGGGATCTGACTTGTCCTTGCATCGCCTTTTCCCCACAGGAAAAAGTTAGCCTTGCTCTGCCCAGGACAAAGATTGATAATAATCAGTTACTCATATTTCCATATCACCCTAGGATTTACAAAATCATGTGATCTCTTCATAACAGCCTATTATGCCTAAGGTTGTAGTAATTCTCAGAGTGGGCACTGAACCTTAGTCATAGATCAAGATTAACATGTGGCAGATCTCCCTGAAGGATTTGCTTGTAACAATTTTTTGGGCTATTTTATTTAGTCTCCATATCCTGGCTCCAACACTTAGGAGTTGTGTGATAGTCATTAGTTGGAAGGACCTCTCTCAGATTCAGTTTTCTTATCTGTAAAATGGGGGTAATAATATTTATACTGTCTGACTCACAGGGTTGTAAGGGAAGTTCTTGGTTAATCTTAAAGGAGTACAGAGAAGTCATAGTTATTATTATATATTATAGTTTTTATTCTCTAATTTGTCATATTCTTTAGTATGACTTTTTTGCAAGTTGGGCTCTTCCTTTGTTAAAAAAATATTTTTTATTGGGGCAGCTTGGTGGTGCAGTGGACAGAGCACTGGCTCTGGAGTCAGGAGGATCTGACTTCAAATCCAGTCTCAGACACTTGATGCTTACTAACTGTGTGACTCTAGGCAAGTCACTTAACCCCATTGCCTAGCCAAAAAAAAAAAAGTATTTTCTGTGTAATAAAGCATTCCCTAGATACCCATCAATTGGAGAATGGCTGAACAATTTGCGGTATATGATTGCAATATAGTATTACTGTATTATAAGAAATGATAAGCAGACAGGTTTCAGAAAAACCTGGAAAGACTTACATGAACTGATACAAAATGAAGCAAGTAGAACCAGGAGAACATTGTACACAGTAACAGCACTACTGTACAATGATTAACTGTGAATGACTTAGCTATTCTCCACAAAACAGTGATCCAAGACAATTCCAAAGGACTCTTGATAAAAATACTATCCACCTCCAGAGAAAGAACTGATGCAGTCTGAATATAGATCAAAGCATACTATTTTTCACTTTATGTATTTTTTTCATGTTCTTTTTTCCTTTGGGTCTGTGTCTTCTTTTACGTCATGACAAATATGGTAATATATTTTGCATAATTGAACATGTATAACCTATATAAAATGGCTTACTGTCTTGGCGGGGGGGAGGGAGAGAGAAAATTTGGAACTCAAAATGTTTTTCTTTTTTCTTTTTTAAAAAAATACAAATGAATAATTTTTTCAGTTACATGTAAAGACAATTTTTAACATTCAGTTTTTTTTTTCTTTTCTTTTTTTTTTGTGAGGCAACTGGAATCAAGTGACTTGCCCAGAGTCACACAGCTAGTAAGTGTCAAGTGTCTGAGGCCGAATTTGAACTCAGGTCCTCCTGACTCCAGGGTCAGTGCTCTATCCTCTGCGCCACCTAGCTGCCCCAACATTCAGTTTTTTAAATAAAATTTTGAGTTCCAAATTTTTCTCCTTCCCTCCCCTTCCTCCTCCCTAAGACAGTAAATAATTTGATATAGGTTATATGTGTGTAATCATGTAAAACCTATTTTCCATATTAGTCATGTTGTAAAATAAAAAAAACAGAACAAAAGGAAAAAACTATGAAAAAAAAAAGTGAAAATAGTATGCTTCAATCAGCATTCAGACTCCATCAGTTCTTTCTTTGCACGGGGATAGCATTTTCTATCATGCATCTTTTGGAATTGTCTTGGATCATTGCATTGCTGAGGAGAACTAAGTCAATCATAGCTGATCATTGCACAATGTTGCTATTACTGTATACAATATTCTCCTGATTCTGCTCACTTTATTCAGCATCAGTTCGTTCAAGTCTTTCCAGGTTTTTCTGAAATCTGCACACAATATTATTCCATTACATTCATATACCACAACTTGTTCATCTGTTCCCCATTTGATGGGTATCTCCTCAATTTCCAATTCTTGGCCACCACAAAAAGAGCTGTTATAAATATTTTTATACATATGGGTCCTTTTCCCTTTTTTATAATCTCTTTGGGATACAGACCTAGAAGTGGTGTATTGCTGGGTCAAAGGGTATACAGAGTTTGATTGCCCTTTGGGCATAGGAACTTGAAATTTAAAAAAAAATGAATGCTAAAAATTGTCTTTACATGTAACTAGGGAAAATAAAATATTATTGATAAAGCATTTCCTGCAAATGAATCTTTCAACATGGGCAAACAGAATTTGATTCTCACAAGACCTTCTTTGAATTGTTTAAATCACTGTGCACCTCTGCAGGGAAAGTGGTTCTACAACCTGTTAGTTGTTGGTCCACTGTATGGAGGCGAGGACAGAAGGCGACAGGCTTCCCAGCTTCCGTTTTGGGGACCTTTGCTTGGGATTATTTTGGCTTGTGACTGGGTTCTGTATATTATATTTTGTACTCTTATTGTCATTTCATCTTCCTCCCCAGGGAAATGTCTACTGTTTGGCTTCAAGTTGGACAATGTGGCAGCCAGATAGCTCAGGAGTTGTGGCACATCTTAGGCCTTGTAAACGGATCCTGTGGAAAAATAGATAGGTAAAATGGTTGGTTTTGTTTGTTTGTTTTTGTGAGGCAGTTGGGGTTAAGTGACTTGTCCGGGGTCACACAGCTAGGAAGTATTGTGTATCTGAGACCGGATTTGAACTCAGGTCCTCCTGACTCCATGGCAGGAGCTCTATCCACTGCACCACCTAGCTGCCCCTAGGTAATGCAGTTTTAATACTGCCTGAAACAACTATGGGCTACTCCTTCAGCTTATGTACCTGTATACCTGGCTAGCAGGTATTGGACACTCCATTTTTCCATCAGTTCAGGTCTGATTTCCATCAGGGGTGGTTCTCTAGTGAAATTATGGGTTTTCCCTAATATGTAGTCTTTAACTTTGAATAGTCAAGTAATGATTTAACATTTTCAGTATTGACTTTTTTCCTCATCACACCTCACTTAATTCATTTTTCATATCCAGCTCATTGTTCTTAACCAGTTTTATGTCATGGACTACTTTGGCAATCTTGTAAAGCACATCTCAGAATTATGCTTTTAAACACATAAAATAAAATACATGAGATTATAAAGGAAACAAACTATGTTGAAATACAGTTATTGAAGGTTTTTTTTTAAACAAATAAGTTTATAAATCCCAGGTTAAGAACTCCTATCATAGACTGAGAATTGAGGAGCTCTTTAAAAAAGCACTGTCTTCCATAATGGAGTTTTAACTTAAGCTTTGTGTGAAGTGAACAAACCAGCCACTTACTGGTTAGAATCCCGACAGCTAATAGCCACAAATTGTCAAAATACAATTCTTTTGCAAACCATAGTCAAGAAGTCTTGAATGATTGCATATGTTTCTGCGTCCATTGAATAATTCTGTTCTTGGACTCAGGATGAAAAATGCTCTCCACTTCTAGACAGAGATGGGTTCAGAGAGCAGATTGAAGCATAATTTTTTTCTCTTTCTTTTTCTTTTCAGGACATGGCTAATATGGAAATATGTTTCTCATAACTTCTATGTGCAATGAGTGTTGCATGTTTTGCTTTCTCAAGGGGTGGCAGGGTATAAAGAGGGAGAGATTTGAGAACTGAAAATAAAATTAAATTAAACAGAAAAGTTTTTTTAATTAAAAAAAAAAAGTGATTCTATCCTTCCAGGGCTATGGCATATATGCCTACCTATAAGATATTTCACTGGACACATCTTATTTTTTTGGTTTCCATTTCCTTCCTTTTTTTTTTTTTCAGACTGGCTCTCCTTTTCTCACTCAGGTTGGAATTTCAGTGGCCAATTAATAGGCCTACCATTGTTAAGCACAGAAGCTTTTACCTGTTCCATTTTTTTTTTAACCTGGGTCAATTTACTCCTTTTTAAGTGGCTTAGTGGCCCTCCAGTCCTGCGGACTCACTATCCACTATGGCAACCTATCCGCTTTAGTCCTTCTGCAGCTAGAAACTCCTGGGTCCAAATGATCCACCAACCTCAGCCTCTCTCAGTAGCAGAGATTACAGGGGCAGGCCACCACATTTGGCCAAATTCCAGTTTCTTAGAAAAAGATCTAAAGACATTTTCATATAGGAGAGAAGAACTAGTGGTCCGTCAATAAGCTTCTATTAAACACCTACTATGTGTCAGGCACAAGATTTTAGCCACATCATGTAGCATTCTCTTCTACTAAAGTCCTTTTCTAAATCCTCTTGGTAGCAAAGGGAGTTACTGAATAGGCAGTAGTAGCTAGATCAGTAGTAGATTACATCAAACTTAAGGTTCAATTCAATTTAACTAAATAGGTATTAATTAAGCACATACCATGAGCTAAAATACATAAATACAAAATATACACCAAGTGATTTTTTTGTTTTTTGTTTTGGGGGGAGGGACAGAATTGCTAACAATTGAGGGGATAAAGAAAGGTCTTCTGTAGAAAGAGACTCTTGATCAGAGCACAGCCTTGAATAGAGATGGAGATTCCAAGATGTGGGGGTGAGAAGGGAGTGCATCTACAGAGTATAAATCTAGGTTCAGCAGGAAGAAAGTACAGAAAGATGATTTCAGCATGACATAATAAAAAAATTTCCTAATAATTGGGATTGGATAAAAGTGGAGAAGGGCTGCGTAACTTTTCTCTTTATTATGAGGGAGGGTTGAAAGGTTGGGGGGAATAGATTCAGAAAAGACTAAGGTATAAAAAACAAGAAATGCCAATAAAATTTTTGTTTTCGAAAAAGGTAATCTAAAAACAAAAATAATCAAATGAAATTGTAAATGGAATAAATGACATTCTGAGGTCATGGGAAACTGGGATAATTGGGTTCAGGCATCAGTCTAGCAGGTGTGCCAACTGCAGAAACACATCCTTTTCATCCAGGGCTGCTTTGTTTTTCTTTCAGGAATCCCTTCTGCTCCCGTGATGGAAAGCTCAGTGCTGTCTGTGTGGACAGTGAATCCAGAGTGATAAAGAAAATGCAGAAACAAGTGAAGAAAGGGTAAGGGACCCAACCTAAGTCCTTTTCTGAGGAACGTAGCTTACCTCCATGTTGCAGTCAGAACCACTGGTGGTTATTTTTTGCTAACTGTTCTTCTTTGTTATGAAGGAGAAGTCCAGTTTAGGAGTGGCCTAAAAATGACAAGGATATAAAATGAAAAGGAATCAATAGAACTCATTTTTTAAAAGTGATTCCCAATCCTCTGGGATTATACCCATCTCTTTGAATTTATCTCCATTTCATCCTTTATTGACTACATGTATGGACAGAAATGGAGATAAATTGGTGATGTATTTAAGAATGAGAAAATAAAGTTGGACAGCCCATATGGTACATTTGTAATCCTGAGATATTAAAAGAAATAAAGGAAAGCTTCTAGAGTGTCAAGTGGATTTTCTGTGGAAATACACGGACAATAATTGCTCAGAATGCCAAGGTACTAAGACTTGCATTCATTACTGATGAAGAGACCACATATACTGATGAGACCTCAAATCAAAGTGACTTTGTTAAGTATAAAAAAAAGTCCTTTGGATAAATTTGTTCTAAATTGAGAAATTGGTTTATCTTGGAAATGCTATAGACTCCCAGCATATATCTGGAATTCAACAAGGCATGTGACATAGTCCCTAGCAAAATCCATATAGACAAGATGGAGAAATACAGACTGTCAGATTCAAAACTGAACTGGACCCTAAGATTAGTAATAATAATGATGATAATAATAATAATCACATTTATATAGTGCTTTCAGGTTTGCAAAACACTTTCCTCACAACAATCCTATGGGGGGTAGACATTGCAAGTATTGTTATTCCCACTTTACAGATGAGGACACTGAAGCTCAGAGAGACTTCAGTGACTTGGCCAAGGTCACACAACTAATATATGTCAGAACCAGTATTCAAACTTGAGTCTCTCCTGACTCATAAGTCAAAATGATAATCTAGGTCACTCTGATGGAAGGTCTCTAATGCATTGCCCCAGTTATATCAGGAATATTTGTTGGGTTTTTTTTTTAATTCTCAGTCCTAGGATGTTCTGGATATTCTTAGTTAGAGATGAATTGTACTAGATCAAGATCATTTATCAACTGGGGAATGGCTCTTATTTTTATAAATTTGACTCAGTTCTCTATATGTTTGAGAAATGAGGACTTTATCAGAGAAACTTGCTTGAAAATGTTTTTCACAGTTAGTATTTCCCTTCCTCCTATTACTCCACCCTGTTTATTCTCTTCTCTGTCTTCTTTTCTTAATCTGGGGTACATTGACTCTGAAGGGGTCTATGGATAGATTTTAAGGGGTCTATGAACGTGGATGAGAAAAAATTGCATCTTTATTTCATTGTAATAGATTTCTTTTGTAATTTTATTTATTTTATGCATTTTTTTTATTTAGTATTCTATTTTCCCCCAGGCACATGTAAAAACAATTGTTAACAATCGTTTTTAAAACTTTGAGTTCCAAATTCTCTCCCTTCCTCCCTCCCCTCACCACTGAGAAGGCAATCAATTCGATATAGGTTATACATGTGTAGTCATGCAAAACATTTCTATAGTAGTCATGTTGTAAAAGAAAACATAGACCAAAAAAAAAAAAACCTTCAAGAAAAATAAAGCAAAAAAAAGTATGCTTCAATCTGTATTCAGACAGCAACAGTTCTTTCTCTGGGGATGGATAGCATTTTTCATCATTAGTCCTTCAGAGTTGTTTTTTGGATCTTTGTGTTGCTGAGAATAGCTAAGTCATTCACAGCTGATCATCTTACAATATTGCCGTTACTTTTTATACAGTACATTTCACTTAGCATCAACTCATGCAAGTCTCTCTAGGCTTTTCCAAGAGCATCCCCCTCATTATTTCCTATAGCACAATAATATTTCATCACAATCACATACCACAGCTTGTTCAGCCATTCCCCAACTGATGGGCATCCCCTCAATTTCCAATTCTTTGCCACCAGAAAAGAGCTGCTATAAATATTTTTGTCCATGTAAGTTGTTTTCTTTTTTGTTTTTTTAATCTGTTGGGATACAGACCTAGTAGTGGTATTGCTAGGTCAAAGGGTATGCATGGTTTTATAGCCCTTTGGGCATAGTACCAAATTGCTATACAGAATGATTGAATCAGTTCACAATTCCACCAACAATGCATTAATGCCTCATATCTTTTTTTTTTGGTGAGGCAGTTGGGGTTAAGTGACTTGCCCAGAGTCACACAGCTAAGTGAGTGTTATGTGTCTCAGGTCAGATTTGAACTCAGGTCCTCCTGACTCCAGAGCTGGTGCTCTATCCACTGAGCCACCTAGCTGCCCCTCCGCATTTTTCCCACATCTCCTCCAACATTTGTCATTTTCCTTTTCTGTCCTATTAGCCACTCTAATAGAAATGAGGTAACAGAATTGTTTTAATTTACATTTCTCCAATCAATAGTGAGTTAGAGCATTTTTTCATATGGCTATAGATAGTTTTGATTACTTCATCTGAAAACTGTTCATATCTTTTGATCATTTATCACCTGGAGAATGGCTCTTATTTTTATAAATTTGACTCAGTTCTCTATATGTTTGAGAAATGAGAACTTTATCAGAGAGACTTGCTTCAAATTTTTTTCACAGTTACAATTGCTAACTGTATTTCCCTTCATCCTATTCCCCCACCTCATTTATTCTATTCTCTCTCTCTTTTTACCATGTCCCTCCTCAAAAGTGTTTTGCTTCCGACTACCCCTTCTTCCAATCCCACTCCCCTCACCTTATTCCTTTCCCCTCCTACTTTCCTGTAGGGTAAGATAGATTTCCATCCCCAAATGAATGTGTATGTTATTCCCTCTTGGAGCCAGTTCTGATGAGAGTAAGATTCACTCACTCCCACTCACCTCCCCCCTCTTCCCCTCTGCTGTAAAAGCTTTTTCTTGCCTCTTTTATGTGAGGTAATTTACCCATTCTACCTCTCCCTTTTTTACTGTACATTCCTCTCTCACCCTTTAATTTTATTTTTTTAGATATCATCCCTTCATATTCAACTCACACCTATGCCCTTGCCCTCCCTCCCCCATCTTTCTCTCTTTCTCCCTCTCTCTCTCTCTCTTTCTCCCTCTCTCTCTCTACACACACACACACACACACACACACACACACACATACACAGTCTTCCTATCTTCGCTAATAATGAGAAAGTTCTTATGAGTTACAATATCATCTTCCCGTGTAGGAAGTAAACAGTTTAACCTTATTAAGTCCCTTATGATTTCCCTTTCCTGTTTACCTTTTTCTGCTTCTCTTGAGTCTTGTATTTAGATTTTCTATTTTCTATTCAGCTCTGGTCTTTTCATCAGGAATGCTTGAAAGTCCTCAATTTCATTGAATGTCCAGTTTTTTTTCCCCCTGAAAGATTATTCTTAGTTTTGCTGATTGTAATCCTAGCTCCTTTGCCTTCTGGAATATCATATTCCAAGCCCTCCAATCCTTTAATGTAGAAGCTGCTAAATCTTGTGTTGTCCTGACTGTGGCTCCACCATACTTGAATTGTTTCTTTCTGGCTGCTTGCAAAATTCTCTCCTTGACTTGGGAGCTCTGGAATTTGGCTATAATATTTCTGGGAGTTTTCATTTTGGGATCTTTTTTAGGAAGTGATTCTTTCAATTTCTACTTTACCCTCTAGTTCTAGAATATCAGGACAGTATCCCGTGATAATTTCTTGAAAAATGATGTCTAGGCTCTTTTTTTAACCATGGTTTCAGGTTGTCCAATGATTTTTAAATTATCTCTCCTGGATCTATTTTCCAGGTCAGTTGTTTTTCCAGTGAGATATTTCATATTGTCTTCTATTTTTTCTTTAGGTTTTGTTTTATCGTTTCTTGATTTCTCATAAAGTCAATAGCTTCCATTTGCTCAATTCTAATTTTTAAGGAATTATTTTGTGCAGTGAGCTTTTGAACCTCCTTTTGTATTTGGCCAATTCTATTTTTTAATGAGTTTTTCAGTGGATTTTTGTGCCTCTTTTTCCTTTTGTCCAGTTCTGCTTTTTAAGGCATTCTTCTCTTCATTGGCTTTTTGGACCTCTTTTACCATTTGGCCTATTCTGTTTTTTTAAGGTGTTATTTTCTTCAATGTTTTTTTGTGTCTCCTTTACCAAGCTGTTGACTCTGTTTTTCATGATTTTCTTGCATCACTCTTGTTTCTCTTCCCAATTTTTCCTCTGTCTCTCTTACTTGATTTTCAAAATCCTTTTTGAGCTCTTCCAGAGCCAGAGACCAATTCATATTTTTCTTGGAGGCTTTGGATGTAAGAGCTGTGATTTTGTTACATGCTTCTGAATGTGTGTTTTGAGCTTCTTTGTCACCATAGTAACTTTCTATGGTCAGAATTTTTTTCTGTTGTTTCCTCATATTCCTAGCCTATTACTTGAGTTTTGACTCTTTGTTAAAGTAAGGCTCTGCTTCCAGGGTGGAGAGTGCACTGTCCCAAGCTTCAGGGATTTTGTGCAGCTATTTTTAGAGATGCTTCTTGGAACCTATAAGTTTTCAGTTCTTCCAAGCTGGTGTGATCTAAGGAGAGGTGTTTGCTATTCGACTGGTCTGTGCTCTGGTCTATGAATGACCACAAGTACTCTTTTCTGCCCTGGAACTGTGAGAAGGGTCCCCCACTCCACTGTGGCGACAAGCTCTGATATGCTAGTGCTTCTCTTTGCCCTGGGACTGCCACCCAGGCAAATCTTGAGTTGATCTCTTTTCCTGCCAAGACATGGCAGCTGTGGCTTAGATGCAAATACAATGGATTTGGAGTCAGAATATTATTCAAATCCTAGCTACACTGCTAACTATCTATGTGATCTTATCATTTAACCTCTATGAGCCTCAGTTTACCTATCTGTAAAATAAAGGTGTTAGGCTAGATGAACTCTGTTTCCTTCCAGATATAAATCTTATGATCCCATTTATAGCAGAAAGGTAGAGTTGATTCTAAAGATATGTAAGTAAAACTCTTTGAGAAGTTGTTTTAAGTAGGTAAACCAAGTTGATACTAAGATTGCAAATAACCACTACTGTAAGAGTCTGCAAGGAACAAACTCATTTAGTTTTCATTGATGTCCAAAGTATCTACTCAACTGTACATAGTCATTTATATTTATTTAAGTTTCGCTCTGAAGAGTATATTTTTAGTGGTTTCCTAATACTAGGTAATTTTTATGTTTAACCATCTTGCTAAAGAATTATATTTTTTATTTAAATAAAGGATAATTGAATGCATAAGTGTGTTGACACCACTGTCTCATTTGATTCTAACAACAGTGTAAAGAAAGAATACTTTTCTCTTCTACAGTTGAGAAAATTAAGAAACAGAGTTGATTTTCCTTAGGTTAGACAATTAGGACATAGAAATCTAGGACCACAGAGAATGAGAGAATGAATGAAAAAGCATTTAAATGCTTACCATGTTCAAAGTACTTTGCTAAGTGCTGAACAATATAAATAGAAAGAGAAGACATTTCCTACTCTCAAAAAATTCACGTTCTAATGGGGACAACATCTAGAGGAAGTTTCAGCTGTGAGTAGTATGTAAAGGCTCAGAGATACTTAGAAGAATGCATCATCAAAACAGATAATATTACATCTTCTTTAGTGTCATTTCTGTTGATGAAGCCAGGGCCCCAAAGGCTTATCTCGGACAACCCTTTCTTTTATAGATGATAAGAAATTGAAGACAGAAAAGTTGTGCCAATTTGTACAAGTCAACAGAGCTGGTGCTTGAACATAGGTCTCCTAATTGTAATTCCAGTGTTCTTTTGAAAAGTTATCAATCACAATAATTAGTTGATCATAGGATATAGCTGCTGATGGGTCTCATGAAAAAACTTAGAGATGTGGTTGAATTAGAGTGTTCTTTCCACTGAATCTTACTATACTATGCTTATAAAGGAAGCTTACCTTTAGAACTACATGGCCATATAACTCAAGCACTCAAACTCCCATGTCTGTTTACCCAAATTATAGGGTTATTGTCTAGTTAGACCTTTGGAACTGAACCTGGCCAATCCAAATCTGTAAACCATGGCAAGTACCACAAGTTATTATTGTTATGACCATTTTTATGACCATTTTTATTCCATAGCACAGCAAGGAAGACATTGGACTTGTAGTCAAGGGAGTTGGTTCGAACCCCAGATGACACTATTTGTGTGACTTTGGACAAGTCGCTTTATCTCTTTGGGCCTCGTTTCCTCATTTGTAAAATGAAAGGGTCGAGTTAGAAGGCCTCTGAGTGAGGTCCCTTTCATATTTATGTCTATGGTCCTGTGATCTTTCTATCTTTCCATAAGCCTTTCTTCAGCTAACTGGAGAAAATCCTGGGGAAAGGAAGCTAAATGTCTGACTCAGGTGCTGATTTCTCTTTTGACTTGTGCTACAAGCTTTGGGGGTAATGATTTCCTAGAAAGGGTAACAAATTAAGCGGCAGTAAGGAAGGGCCAGAAGCAGTTTATCAGCAAAGTAGTTAAAGCAATCAAGCAGATTCCCTATGTGGCTAATTACTAGGTCCCTCCCCACTACAGGGTGTTAGTATCAGAATGTGGTTATGGTCCAGGCTTTCCAACAAGTCTCTCACTTTCAACAATGCATTTTTTTTTTTTCAGTTTATTCCGAGAATCGAATGTAATAATCGGAAAACAGGGAAGAGGGAAGAATTGGGCGTGTGGTAAGACTCTGATCTCTCAGCACTTACTTTTGTTGTTTGTTTTGTCCAGACCTGACCTAAGATTTTCAGTGTTAGCTAGGTGACCCCTTCTGAAATTTATTTTCTTTGAGAATTGCCCAAGGCACACAGAGGTTAGTGGTTAAGTGACTTGCCTTGGTCACACAGTTTGTATGTATGAGAGGAAAGTCTTTGTAGCTCCAAGGTGGCTCTCTGTTCACCACACCAAGCTTCTTCTCTAGAGACTTATGCATGTAGTGAGCATTTTGTTAGTTGTTAAATATACCATCACTCAGAGTAGATTATGAATTCCCAGAAAGCAGAGACCATGTATTCTATTTTTATTATTCAGTTTTTATTGTTTCTCATATAGAATACTCTATCTCCTGTCTCTGGGCCTTTGCACATCATAATTAGCTCCTTTTAAGCCTAGGGACAAAATAAAGGCCCCTAAAGTCCCTGATCTGTGGCTTTAGAAAGTTTATTTTAGAAGAAAAGTTAGGAGTTTAATTATAATCTCTCCAAGTCCCCAGTTTGAAAAATTTCTAAGCTTTAGACAGTGGTTGGAATCACCTAAATTTACATTTGTATCTATCTGTAGTTCATCTTTGACATCTTTGAGGTTGAGGCAAAATTCAGGTTGCTGATAGTGTTTTCTAGTGAAATAGAAGGCTATGTTATAGTATCTGTGGAGAAAGAGCTTTGGGAAAGAGCAGATCTTTTATTGGGACTTACCTCAGTCCTTAAGTAGGTTAGTACAGTGGTGTGACCCACCCTACAATTGGGTCTTCTGCTGTGTGCTGCCAGGAGAGCAGATGGCCCTCCTCCAGAACTCCACACTGCCACAAATCAGTTTTAACTTCTATTTCTCCTTTACCTGGTCACCCCAGGGCTGCTAGTTCTTGATTGGCTAGCTTGGCTTAACCTCACTTCTTCCTTTCAGTTCTTAGATCTTTGGTATATCCATTATTGTTCTGAGATAGCTAGCCTTTTATACAAATTCCTTAGGGTGTGCCCAAATGGCTTTGATTGATTCAAGAAGAAATACTGGCTTTGTTCACTTTCAGTTCTGATTCCCATCACATAGTGTTATAATTCAACAATGGAAATTATCTTCAGGTAGGTGGGACAGTCATTGGGGCCCCACCTGTAATACACCCTTCTTCTCCATTCCCACTGCCTGTCCTCACCCCTGATTTCCCTTGATTTCCTTGAAAACTAGATTCAAGTGTCACCTTCTGTGCGAAGTCTTTCCTGGTTCCTCTAGTTGCTAGTCCTAAATATTTACCTTGTGTTTATTTATTTATTTATTTATTTTTTGGTGAGGCAGTGGGGGTTAAGTGACTTGCCCAGGGTCACATAGCTAGTAAGTGTCAAGTGTCTGGGTTCAGATTTGAACTCAGGTCCTCCTGACTCCAAGGCCAGAGCTCTATCCACTGTGCCACCAAACTGCCCCCCTTATGTTTATTTTATAAATATTTTTACATACCAGTTTCACTTTTGTCTTTGTATTCCTAGTCCCTAGTAGAGTGACTGTTGTGGTTCAGTCATTTCAGACTCTTTGTGACCCTATTTGGGGTTTTCTTGGCAAAGATACTGAAGTGGTTTGCCATTTCCTTCTCTAGCTTATTTTTATTCTCCAGGAATTATTATTATTCTCCAGGAAACTGAGGCAAACAAGGTTAAGTGATTTGCCCAGGGTCACATAGCCTGAGGTTGACCTTGAACTCAGGTCTTCCTGACTCTGATGAAGTACTTGGGTCCTGCCCAAAAAAATTTGACCCAAGCCTTCTGCCAAAGACAAGGTTTATTAAAGATCCGCCATATTAACCAGGCTCTTAAGGAATCTGAGCATCTGTGAGCTATTGGCTAGATTGTAAAAATCTGAGCAGTTACTAGATTATAAGAATTGAGCACCTTAATGGAGACAAGATGGACCTTATATGCAGAAAGACTGTGGAAGGGATCTAGGAAGGATCTTGATGGGAGTGACTGCAATGGAGTCTGGATAGGGTCAAAGGTGGGAAGTAGCCAGGAGCCATAGGGAGGTAAGACAAAGGAGGGCTAGGCTAGGTTAAGGGAGATTGGGTTTGGGTGATAACAAAAGGCCAGTTGATGGGACTATAGCCTCAGGTGAACACCAGAGATTTGGCTATGTGGAAAAGTCCAGGGTTTTTCCTTTTTGGGGTCCAGATCCCATCCTCATCAACTCCAGGCCAAGGAGCTCTATCCACTGCACCACAGAGCTGCTTTAGTAGAGTGTCTAGCATATAGCTAAATAAATGCTTGCTGATTAAATGATTCCATTTCTTTTGATGATGACCCCCCCTACAATACTTTGCATAATAGATTGGTAAATGCTGCTGGTTCAATCACTGACACCTGCTCTGCCATTTTAGTGCTTTACTTTAGTAAAGCTTTAGTCCTCCAGATAGAAACTCTTAACTTTCCTCTCCCCTCCTCCATCCCTCTCCCCGACACCATTTGTCATTCCTCACCTGAGTAACCCTTGGGAGCATCCTCCTTCAGATTTTTCCACTTAAGCTGTAGAGCTGCTGAAGGTCCTTGAAGAAAGTCACAGATTTCACCCACCATAAATTAATGGCCACCAAGTGGATAATGGTCCCTGGGCCTTGTAGTCTGAAGTATTTTGTTCCCTTAGCCCTCTCCCCTGTTGCTGGTCCCTTACTACCTCTGCTCAGCAATTGATCTACTCTTATTGGCCTCCTCCTCTCTTCCTTTCTCAAAACTTTTCATTCATTTTCTCCTCCCTGTGCTTGACTAAGGCTAATCCCTTTATGTGTTACATCTTCTTTGCCCTCCATATTGCTTCTTCCAGAACTTTACTTCAACAGTGATTCTTCTTTTTATTGTACAAATCAATTAACCAATCAACCAACATTTATTAAGGACCTATTAGGTACAAGGCACAGGGCTTAGCCCTGGGGATATAAAGACAAAGAATGAAACAATCCTTACAAGAAGTTTACAGAAACTTCAGTCTCTCCTTCCTTTCCACCAAAAAAATCTTCAGGTCTTATTAAGCCCCAAAAGAACAACCGAAAAAAAAAAAACCACAAACCCCAAAACAGTAACAACAAAAAGCAATCCCTTGACCATTTAAAAAACCTAATTTTCCCATCCTACATTTCTCTTTCCTTCACTACTAAACTTCTTGAATAATTAACTTGGCATTAATATCCCTACTGCTGCAGCACCTACTCTCTCTATAACCTCTTCAATCTGGTTTTCATCTCTTCTATTAGTCCTATCGAACCTACTCTTAAAAATCCACAGCAATTTTAATTTGAAAATCCACAGGTTCTTCTTTAGCCCTGTTTCTTTCTAACCTCTATACAGTTTTCATCACTGTTGATCACTACCACCTCCTGTTGGATACACCCAGGTTTTTGGTTGTTTTTTTTTTTTGCTTCAAGAATATTACACCCTCTTGGTTCTCCTCCTTCCTCCCTAACTGTTCCTTTTCTATCTTCTCTGATAGTTTCTTATCCTCTTCCTAACCGTATAATGTATATGTGACCTCAGGTTCTGTCTCCACCTCTCCTTTCTTTTCTCCATTCTCTCTCTTAGAAAGTTCATTCATTCATATGATTTTAATTGTCCCTTCAATATTATTGTCATTATAGGATACTAAGGCATTAAGGGAGAGAGGTTAAAAATAAGCAACTCAAGAAATAAAGTTAGAGGCACAATGGCAAAGAGAGAGATACAAACCCCCTCCTTCCCTCCTCCCCAAAAGGATAGAGTGACACAAAGCTATTCACAGACATTATAAATCTAAGTTTATAGTGTTTTCCTTGCAGCTGTGTGCTATATCATAAGTATTATCATTCATATTTAACAGGTGTAGAAACTGAGTCTCAAAGAGATTAAATAAGTTTCCTGCTGTCACATAGCCAGCAGTGGCAGAACTGGGATTTAAAACCAGGTCTCCTGGATCCCCGTCTATGCTGCCTCTCATAGTGCTGATTTGGTGGAGTTTTAAGACATTCCCTCTTCTAAAGCTTGTTGTGTTCTCAGGACAGTAGGAAAAATAGGAATAATTGTCTTTTGGCATTAATTCCACATGCAAAGAAACTATACCATAGGCTAGACACAGGGGTGACACGTGGCCTCGACGCCGTAGGTTCCTCACTGCTGGTAGAGTTTTCCCAGTTCTGCCTGAGACCAAAAATATCAACAATGCACAGCTGCCTGAACTTCAAATGCTTCCCTTATTCAGGAAGGAAATAAGGCCGTGGCCATTTGAAGTAAAACCCCACCCCTCACACATGAGGACTGGTGGGAGCACAGGAACAACTGTCTCTCATCTAAGACTCAAAGAAGGGCCAGCTGTCAAAACTCTGACAGGGAGGGAGAGTAAACATGAAGATACTGATTGGGAATGCAGTTGAGATGGGTGATTGATTAGCTGGCCTTTCCACACCAGTGAAGGAGTCAGTTAAGTCGGGCAGTAGGCAAACTCGGATGCTTGGAATCTGCTCTAGCTATTTTCCTTATCTTTGGTTAGGCAGACAAGGTTATTGTTGAATGAGGTATGTTGTGTTCCACAGCTGGATATTTGTGTCTGTGTGTGTGTGGACCAGATAGCTCCTTCCCCACAGTGGTTGAATATTAAAATTCTATTTGTGTGAGTTAATGTGGTTCTCTTAGCTCCTATTAGGTTAGAGTTGAGGGGACCGTGGCATATAACCCTAGAACAGAAGAGGAGAACCTTCGGCCTCAAGGCCACATGTGGCCTTCTAGGTCCTTGGGTGCAGCCTTTTGACTGAGTCCAAGTTTTACAGAACAAATCTTTTTATTAGGGGGATTTGTTCTGTGAAGTTTGGATTCGGGAGACTGAGGCAAAAGGATTACTTTAGCTGTTCCGAGTTTTGAACAGGGATCATAGGCAAGCACCACTACGCCCAACAATAGTAGATATTTGTCTCTTTTCTCCCTTTTGGTAACCACTTATCGTAATTTATCTCCTTTCAATTGCTTGACTGTATTTACTTTCTAGGTTTCTCATAATTCCTACTGTGTTTGTGTTTAAGATCCACATTTCACTTTATAAGATTATATTCAGATTTATAGCATAAATTATTCTTATAAAGCTTTGTCTTTTACCTTTTGGATTATCATGTTTCAAGATTTTTTCTTTTTTATAGTAGTTACTTTATAGTAGTTAGTTATAATCCTGACTGGAGTTCTTTGGTACTTGAACTCTTTCTTTCTAGCTGCTCTCAGTATTTCTCTTGTACCTTAGAAACTCTGAGTTTTGGCTTTGACACACCTAGGTATTTTCAATCTGGTGCTTCTTTCAGGAGGTGATCAGTGGATTCTTTCTACTTTACTTTACCTTTGGTTCTATTATCCAGCATCATTCTTTTGTAATTTCTTTAAATATGATATCTAACTTTTTTGTTTTGTCATGACTTTCAGGAAGTGTTAGGATTTTTACTCGATCTCTTCTTACTACTTACTTACTGACTTACAGGTCATTTTTTAAAATGAAGAGCATAAAAGTACCTACCATTCTTTTCCAGTATTTTGACTTTGTTCTAATATTTCTTGTCTCATGGAATCATTTCATTATCTTTGCTCCATTTTTTGTTTTTTATTTTTTTGGCCAGGCAATGGGGTTAAGTAACTTGCCCAGGGTCACACAACTAGTAAATGTTACATGTCTGAGGCCAGATTTGAACTCAGATCTCCTGAATCCAGGGCGGTGCTCTATCCACTTCACCACCTAGCTGCCCCAGTCTTTGCTCTGTTTTGAGATTTCTTTTCAGAGAGTCTACTATTTGGGTAAGGTTTTATACATTCAGTCTTAAGTTATTTAGTCCCTTTCCAAATTTTTCCTTGAGAGTGTTAACTTTATTTTGTGACTTTTAAGACTTCTTGCAAAGATTCTTAGAATGCTTGTGGTCAAGCCGTTCTTTTATCTGAAGTTATATTTGTATTTGCTATGGAGTTACTCTTTTCTTCTGGGTTGACCTCTTGGGCTTCCCTTAGCATCTAGTATTTCTTCATTGTTTTCTTCTGTTTGCTTATCTCTCCAGGCTCAGTTTCTGGATTAAGACCTTGTGTTTAGGTCAGTCTCTGCGTCCCTTTTCTCTTTCTCCTCCTCCACTCTTTGGATGGAATGGGAGGGCCTAGTTTGTCACTCTCTCCTCTCTAGTCTGAATGCTTCCAATGCTAGAGTTCTGGAAGAGGTGGCTGAAAGTAGGTCCTGGCCTCTGACATAATGTCTGTCTTCTGCCTCCTTTCCTGGTGGCCCAAGTAGTAGTGAAGTACTATATGAAGTCTGAGGGGAAAGGTAATTACTGATTGGAAAGGTGGTGGTAGTGGAATGAGCTATACAGGCTTTAAGATTGGAATTCCTTGAAAATGCTATCCACATCCAAAGAAAGAACTATGGTGTTTGAATGCAGATCGAAGTCATACTATTTGCTATTTTTTTTCTTCTGTTTTGTTTTGTTTCCTCTTTCTGGTGGTTCTTCCTATTGGTTCTAATTCTTACTTACAACATCACTAATGTGAAAATATGTTTAATAGGAATGTTTATGTATAGCCTATATTAGATTGTGTGTTGTTTTGGGGAGGGAGGTGAGGAGGGAGGGGGAGAAAAATTTAAAACTCAAAAGCTTATGGAAGTGATTGTTGATAAATCAAAATTAATTTAAAAAAAGATGGAATTTTTTGGAAGATATAGCCCCCAGAATATTTTGTTATGTACCCAAATCTCTTTGATGTGGGCCGTTGTAAATGGTTTGTTTCCAGGCTACTACAACAAGCCTTTGAATTGTGAAGAGAGCCTTCTCTACGAGACAATGGAGAGGCTTCGAAACGAAGTGGAACTCCGGGATTGTTATAGTGGGACTGTGCTTTTTCACAGCCTAAGTGGTGGCACAGGAGCAGGTATGTAATGGGGGGAGAGGAGGAGAAGGAACCTAGCTAGATTATTATGCTTAACATTTTGACCTTGACATCACTTTTTAGATGTGGGTTTACAAAGTACTCATCTAGCTTTTTTCCTTTTTCTTTTTTCTTCTTCTACCAAGGTCCTGGGTTTGTAATTCAGGTAAGCTGACACTAGGTAGATGATGGTGCCTGGACCATGTAGCCTGAGCAGTTAGAGCTCTCCAAGGTGTGCGTCATCAAATAAAAGATTATCACATTTCCTCCACTCAGTTATACTTTGTTTCATGGTCTGCCATGAATCCACTGCCAAGAATGGCCAATCGTGGCCAAATTCGTGGCTGAAAAATTTATTACTACTCAACCAGATTACTGTTGATGAGTCTTTCCATGCTTAAGCAGGCTTTTCCTTGGAAAGTAGAGAAAGTCTGGACTATATTCAAAGCTGTTCCATTTTAATAGATGGAGCTAGAACTTGTTTTCCCACTGACATAGCCTTTAAGAATCCAGGGTTCCTTCCATGCCACAGTGAGGCATCAGAGTACAGTGTTGTGCAGGATAAACATTATATATGGCTAATGAATGGGGCCCAGAAATGAATAGAAGGAGAGAAAGGGCTGGGTTGCTTTTGGGAAATGATGCAGTGTTTTTAATGGCCTCAAGCTTCTGCATGGAATGAAGGCTCATTTATTTCACATTAGTGTTCTTCTAGTGGTTCTGTGTGACTGCTAGTTATGGTATACCTGGCCTTTAAAAAACTCAGTGGGTCAAAGGGCAATGGGAAAGATACATGATGGGAGTGAATTCGGCTGCAACATATTACCAACAGTGAATCAGGCAGGAGAAGGTACTAAGGGGATCATCAGAGAGATATCAGAAAAGAAATGGAAAGGGCTGTCACGGAGCAAGATAGCTGATGCCCTGCTTGTACTTCTACTGCTATCAATCACTGTTTAATCTAATTCTTCTTTGTAACACTGCTGTCTTCCTTTTTTAAAAAAAGATTTTAACTTTTATTGTTTTTTTATTACCTCTGTTTCTGAATACATCCCTCCTCCCACCCTTACCCAACAAACCTTCTCTTATAATTCAAAATAAAAGAAAAAGAAAGGAAAAAAAAACGTTCAGTAAAACTAGTGCACATACCAAGCCAATTTGACATTATACGCAGGTTCTACACCAATAGTCTCAGGCTTCTGCAAAGGGAGGGAAGTGCATTTCCTCTTGTCTTCAGGGCCAAGCTTAGTCATTGTAATTACACAGATTATAACATGACTTTCTAACATACCCTGAACCTTCCTTGGGGCTATTCTAGTGTTTTAAAACTTTCAGTAGCTTCACTGTGTATCAGGGCTCTTAGAGCCCTCTTTCACTGAAGCTGTAACAGAGAATCTTATCTAGAATTGCTTTCTGCCTGTCCCAAAAAAAGTCTCAGATCTCTTTCCATGCACTCTTACTCCGCTGGAGTGCTCATGTTACCTCTATCTTTAACCTTCTACTGTCAGTAAAAATAAAAAAAAGAAAAACAACTCACCCATGTATATCCTGAATTGGCCCACGTGATTTCTCTGACTTGCCTGCCTATTTTGAGTTCCAAATTCTCTCCCTCACTTGTCTCCCTCCCTCCTTCCTGAGAAGGTAAGCAATTTGATATACATACTTACATTAAAAAAAAAAGTTTGTTTATTCATTTTTATTTAGAGTAGAACTTTGATTTAATGAGTGTTTAAATATTGCATTTCCTGAGTGTGTACATAGGTGTTCTGGTCTGTGGGGTTCTAGAATGGATACCCTACTTTAAAAAAAAACCACTGCTGTAATGTGGAATTAGAAAACAGAATAAAAATCATGTAAGCCAGATTAAGCCATTCAGATCTGGCTGCAGAGATCACCATGTTTTAATGATTCTCTCCCTGTCCCTATAATAATTAATCAACAGCCATTTATCAGAAAACTCCACCAAACCCTATCCATGTCCTAATTCAACTCTGCCCACCCCTTCCATTGTGTCCTCTAGAATTCTTGTTCCATAGTGAGTACGCTTTTTTTTTTTCTTTTGTCCTGGACCTCTTTCTCGCACTCTTTATGTATTAGTCCTCCCAGAGCCCTGGTTCCACCCTGATGATGCAGCATCCCTGACTCTCCTCTCTACATGGCTGTACCCTCTCCCATGATCCTGGAGGGGAAGTCAGAATACCTCCTGCTCCAATTGGCACTTATAGATACTCTTCCTTTGCCTTCTTCTCTCAGTAACCTTTCCTCTTTTGAAGTCTATGCAATTAAAATTTTCCCACTGGACTAAGTATATCGACCCCCAAGTCACTCTTCTTCCTTCCTTTCTCAAGGAGTTCAGCACCTGTCTATACGGGCCGCACGCTGGCCTTCTGCCAGTCGTGCGCCAGTACCTACTTCCCTTAAAAGAAGTACACCACCAGAGTCTTACCCATGCCTGGGTCCTCGGTCCTCAGCCGGATCACCACACAGAGACAAGCCATCGGGAGGCACCAACACCAGAGCTTTATTCAGAGACCAACACAGCAAACCATCATAGCAAGCCCAAGCAGCAAGGCCAGAGCAACAGGCAGGAGCCAGGGGAGAGCGCACGTGTGTTCTGACCACGCTTGTTCCTAAGTACCTACTTAGCCCCTCCTCTCCAGCCCGCTACTAGCCAATGATTGTAGGGTCAGATACCGGAAGGGGCTGTCTGAGTTTAGCACACCAAGGGGGAGGGAGTGACGTAGGAGGCTAGGATTGGATACAGGAAGGAGGCATCTGGGATTGACGCATAGACAAGAGTACGTGACCTAGGAAGTCAGACTCAGGAGGGGACTGGGTCAGTGCTGCACAAAGTCAGGAAGGTCACAAGAGGCATCTGGGGATGACGTTGCATATAAGGAGGGGACTAAGCAGAGGGAACTCAGTCCTCTGCCATCCCACTCCCACGTGGCACCGCCCCTTGCCTCAGGAGCTCAGGCTCGGCTACTTCCTTGCACCCAGCTTATCTCATAGCACTGCCCAATTGCCTCATGGCTTCTCCGAATCCAGCCCATCCCAGTACACACGACTCTGCCTACCACAGTCCCTGCCTCGACTTCCAAAATACCCAGATCTTACCTTACCCATGCCACAGCACCCGACTGGCAGCTGCCAACATCAGACAGTCCCTCACACCTGTCTAACTATGTTCCTCTCCTTACCATTTCCTGCCCTTGGACTAAGACCCTTTACTATTTCATTTGTTTGCTCCCCAAACTCCCTAACCTTCCATCCTGGGAAAGGAAAGAGTGTGAGTGGGAGGTCCAAGTCAATCCCCAGTTACTGTTAATATCTCCCTAAAATCACTGATTGACCTAGTAGTTAGCACCTCAGTTATCATTTAATCAGTTAACATCAATTAGCTTTTATAAAGGGATATTTACTGAGAAGTTATATTAAGAACAGAAATATAAAACACCTCCCATACCCATCCCACACACACCAGGGGTACACTCTCCCCTCTATAACCTCCATCCCTTGGGAGAGTAGCCTCAACCTTCTAAGTTCACTTCCAATATGGCACAGTCAATGGACGAAGTGGCCCCCTTCTTTGGAGAAATCATTGTTCTAGTGTGTGGATCCACAACTGGACTGGGTCCAGCAGTTCATTTGGGACGTCACTGCTCACCAGGGTAGGCTGTCTGCAAACTCTGGCATGAATTTCAGTTCCTGGACCCTTGGTATCGCCTGACCTTTCAGTGCTCACAAGGTTACAGCTAATCTGTTCCATCTCTACTCTTTCGCCTAATACAGGAGAGAATGAATGCAGTAGGGACATAAACAATAAAGCCATGCACTTATGGCTTCATATCAAACCAGGTGGAGGACATAGGCCACTGGTGCACTTTCCATCTGGAGAACATGGTGGTAATTGCCTCCTCACTGAAACACAGCCAGGCAGAAAAGAGACCAAGGTTTGGTAACTGGGGCCTTCTATGAGTGTGTTCACTTCTGACTCAGAAGCTAGTGGGAAAAAAAAAGCCTTTTCTACCACATGATACACAGACCAGAAGATCATGGAGTACCCAAACCATGCTCTGAAGTCCCCGCTGCATCATTGTTATGGCAGCATCTATATCAATCAAGGTGGATGTACAGAGACTAAAGTTTCCAAAATTATCTTTTCTGTTTACTGTAGTAGCATAACTTGTTGCTATCTGGATTTTTTTTTCCCACTTAGGGCTTGGCTCTCGTCTCTGTGAGGAAATCAGAGACAAGTATCCCTTAGGACAGATTCTGTCTGTAATGGTGGCCCCTTACCAGACTGGCGAATGCCTTCTTCAACATTACAACGTTCTATTGTGCCTTTCTTGGCTTCAGAGGTAACCTCATTAAGCATCTGAAGAAATGGAACTTTAGGCACATCTCACATGGAGGGAAGCAATGATACAGTTTTGTTAGTTCCAAAGCTTTTTACCCAAGGACAGAGTACTAAACTTGGGAGGGGAAGACGATTGGATTCTAGCCTCCTCAGTTCTAGTGTAGATAAATTGATGACTATAAGTAAATCACTTCATTTTCTGGTGCCTCTGTTTCTTCAGCTGTAGAATGGAAATAGCTACACTGATATTTGGTTGCAAAGGTGAGAACTAATACTAATATTCATTAATTATAAACATTTAAAATATGAAAAGTCATTGAAATTGGTGATGGTGATTATAATCATTTGGAGTGATATGTCATATCCTTTGCATCTTTTTAAAGTGTGTTATTTTGATTTTTAATTTGTAAAGTTGTTTTTAATTGGACTTCATGGTTCATGAATGCTTATTACATTCTAAACCTTGAACTTGCTAACCTGGTCTATTTTAGGCCTAAACTATAATAACAAGGAAGCAGTGGGAATGGTTATGCCAGAAGTGGGAATAGTAAAAGTCTGAAGGAGCAGGTTTAGTGGTAAAGAGGCAGATTCCACTTTGGACTTGTTGCATTTGAATTGCTAAGAGGACATCTGGTGGGGGGTGCCTGCAGGGAGTTAGAGATGTGGAACTGGAACTCAGATATAGGTCCTGGACTAGAGAGAGAAAACAAGAGAAAGAGACTGATGAGTCACCAGCCTAGAGATGGGGATTAAAGCCATTTAAAGGTGGGGAGTAAATGAGATGGCCAAGGGAGAGGACATAGAGAGAGAAGAAAAGAAAATAGACCCTAGGGGTACATCCACATTAAGGGCTGGGCAAGAGAATGGGAAGCCAATGGAAACAGGAGGAATTAGAGAAGTAGGAGAACCAGCAGAGTGTGGTATCTTCTTCAGTAGGAGGGTGCATTCACTAGTGTTAAAAACCACAGAGAAGTCATGGCAGATGAGGATTGAAAGAAAGGCCACTGGATCTGGTGATTAGGAGGTTACTGGCAGCCTTGGACAGAGTAGTTTCAATAGAGTGATTGGGGGATGGGGTGTGTGAAGGGGCAGAGTCCCAGGGTGCATTGAAAATGCAATCCAGGTTGAAGAAACAATAGAGGCTATCTGTGATGCGTGCCCTTGTTCTTCCACTAACTCAACTCAATCATAGGCATCCACCCAACCTGTTAGGAGCCTCTCTCAATGCCTCTCGACATTGCAGGAGTGCTAGTGGAACATGTGGGCTCTCCATATGTTATTACCTGCTCTTGTCATGTTACCAGCCCATCTTCTTTTGCACATCTATGTCTTTTACTTCATCCGTTACTCTTTCTCCATCATAACTCCTTGCTAGAAACATGCTGTAGCCTGTTGTGTCCACTGTGAACCTCTCCATGAGAGGCACCTAGGTGTTATGGTGGCTAGAGTACTGGGCCTGGAGTCAGGAAGATCTGAGCTCAAATCTCCAGATACTTACTAGCTTTGTGACTTTGGACAAGTCACTTAACCTCTCTCAGGCTCAGTTTCCTCAAATGCAAAGTAAGCATAAGAATAGCACCTACTACTCAGGGTTGTTGTGAGGAACTAATGACATAATATTTGTAAAGAGCTTAGTACAGTGACTGGTGCATATTAGATGCTTTATAAATGCTTGTTTCTTCTGTTCCATCAAAAAATTTGCTTCACAGACTCTTTCAGTGGCCTTTTCTCTCAGTCCTCAGGGAGACTCAGTTGTGCGAGGCTATTGTCCAAATGCATGCATTGTGAAAAAGGACACTATAAGCTGGAATAAATCTTTTAATTTCTCTGGGTCTCGGTTTCCTCATCTATAAAATGAAGGGGATGGAGTATGGTCTCTTCATACCTTCCAACCATAAATATATGACACTATGAACAGGAGGGAATTGGCCTACCTAGGAACCTTTGGTCGAGAGAGACATCCAGTGAGGATTTCTAGGCTTTGCTTCATGTTACAGGGCCAGCCAGACCTGTCGCGTCCCAACTGTTGATGTGGTCTGTGTCTCTGTAGGTACGCGGATGGCATCTTCCTCTTCCATAATGATGATGTCCTGAGGAAAACAATAGCCAGGATGGGGAAGAAGAATATCTGGGAGCCTGGGGTGCTATCCCAAGTGTCCCTGTCTAGCATGAACACCTACATCTCAGATTGTGTGGCAGGACTCTTGTACTCTGTCAGCAATTTCCAGCCCACCACGTGAAGGATTTCAGCTCTTGCCTCCTCTTTCCTTCCCACCCCGATCCTCCTTTCCCTCCTCCTCGCCCCCCTCCCCCGAATTGTCTTGTTCTTCTTCCATTTTGTATGGAGGGATGATGAGCCAGGGACGAACCTCATTATTGAATGAGCACTTACACAGCCAGTTTGGGTGCTGTCTTCCCAAAGTGGTCATCAGCAGAGGCAACAAGTGTTCCAACGACTTTCATCTGAAGCTTTCTAAAATGTGTTGTCTCCCCCATTAGAATGTGAGCTCCTTCAGAGAAGGGACTCTTACTTTTCTGTTGGTATCCAACGACATGGCAAGGGATCCTTGGTGGCTCTACTGACTGAGTCTCTGTCATTTTGTAGTGGGCTGAACATGGAAGTAGAACCCTGGGAGTTGCTGCGGTCCGTCTGCCCTATGCCAACCATGAAATTCCTGCATGTTGCTCAGACCAGTACCAGGTAAGCAAGGAGAGTTTCCCTCCCAGAAACAGAAATGGAATATTTTGATCAAAATTATATTGCCTAAATAATTAGCAGGTGGGACTAAGTGGTGGGTTAACAGCTTCCTGTTGGAGGCCTCTTTTCCCAGGGGCAGGTCTGACCATGTCATGCCCCTGCTCAGAAATCTTGCATGGTTTTCTTTTGCCCTCAGGATAAAATACAAAGTCCTCAGCTTGGCATTTAGAGCCCTATTTTACATAAATTCTCCTTCAGCCTGGAATACTCACTGCTCCATATCTCATTCTGCCTTCTCTTGCCTCCATACATTTGCACAGACTCTTCCTGGCACATATTTCCCTTCTCATCTCCATCTGCTGAAAGCCTTCTCTTGTTTCAAGGCCTAGGTCAGGTCAAGCATCTCTTGATTTCTCCAGCTGAAATTCTTCTCTCTGCCCTTAAATTTTCTCATTGAATTCAATGGAGTTAACATTTTTCAAACACCTGCTTCATGCAAAGCATAATGCTGGGCACACTGGGGATATAAAACCAAAAATGAAACTTTCCCTGTTCTCAAGGAAATTATATTCTAGCAGTGGTGGGGATGGGAAAGAAGATAATTTTCAACATATATACAGATAAGTAATACATAGTATATACTAGTAATTTTAAGAGGTAAAGAGTCCTTAACAACTGTGAGTATCTGGAAGGAGCTGATAGTAGGAGGCAGTATACTGTTCTTTGAACCAAGTAAGGGTCTTTGAGGGGTGGAGGCAAGGAGGGATTCTATTACAGACAGGCATGAAAGGCTTGGAAGGGGTAGATGGAATCTTGTTCCACACAGAACTTAGGCCAGTGAACCTACCCCAGCACCCTGCCCAAGCTGGGCTTCCCAGCGATAATGAGGTCAATGTTTTCTGTCTCTGGGAAAGGAGGGCATAAATAAAGAGAAGTTACCACTGTGGTTAAACTCTGCACAGGAAAAAATGCAGTAGAATCCATGGCTTTTCCACTGCTGGCCAAACAAGCCATAAAACCACCACCACCAACAGCGATAACAGTAATAGCTAGCATTTACATAGCGCCTACTATGCGCCAGTTACTGGGCAGTGCTGTGACCACATTTTGTTTTTTCTCTTCCAACAGAGGCCAGGTGTTTTGGGACAGCATGGTCTCATCTGTGACACGCTTCTTGGCTTCTGAGTCAAGTACTGGGGAGCCTGTATCCTTCTTTATGTCAGCACCGATAACAGTGCTCATATTGGGACTGAGAGTGGAATGGAGAGAGCATGAAGGTGCTTGTGCTCTCTACTAGGAAGCCACCTACTGAGCAGAAGGAAACCAAGCAGACATTGTCACTCCTTTGGTGGAGTCCCATCTGGCTAGCTCACATTTACTTGTTCAGTCGTTTCACTTTGTCTGACTCTTCATGACCCCATTTGGGGTTTTCTTGGCAAAGGTACTGGAGTGGTTTGCCATTTCCTTCTCCAGCTCATTTTACAGAGGAGGACACTGAGGCAACAGGGTTAAATGACTTGCCCAGGGTCACATAGCTAGTATATGTCTGAGGTCGAATTTAAACTCAGGTCTTCCTGACTCCAGGCCTGACGCTATCCACTGTGCCACCTGGCTGCCTCAGCTCACATGTATACATTACTTTATGGTTACCAAGTACCATGCTTCCATTCTTATCTGATCCTCACATTAGCCCAGCGAGATAGCTCAGACAAATATTTTCCCCTCTTCGATTTTACAGATGATAGAAACTGAGACTCAGACAGGGGACATGAATTAATTGCCCAAAGTCCCACAGCTAATACCCAAAATAGCTGGTGATTGAACTTCCTAAGACCAAGTCGGGCAGGTAGGTGGTACAGTGGATAGAGCACCGGCCCTGAAGTCAGAAGGACCTGAGTTCAAATCCACCCTCGGACCAAACACTTGACACTGGGCAAGTCACTTAACCCCAATTGTCTAAAACAAACAAACAAAACAAAAAAACAAAGACCAAGTCAGTTACCACATAGTGCCACCTCTATGTAGTGGGTACTGTGGCAAGATTAAAAAAAATCCCTGCCCTCAGGAAGTATACATGATACCAGAGCTATTATTCTAAGGCAATGGAAGCTAAATGTCTATGGAGTGGTAGAGATACATATGATCCATGTTCAGAGGAGGGAGAGATCACTATGGGCTAGGCTGGTCATGGAGGGCCTTATGTATGAGCTGAGACATGACTCATACTGTGGAGTCTTGTTCTAATCCCAGCTCTATCACTGTCTGTCTACCTGTGCAAGTCATGTTCTGGGCAGTTCCCTCACCTGGAGGTAGAGGAGGAGGGAGGGGAGGGGTAAGGGACCAGACTTGATAATCTCTCTAGATTTCTAATGGAAGTCTCTTCCGTTCTCCCTGCCCCCCCCCCCGCCGCCGCCCCTATTCAGTAAACCCCAATGGCTCCCTGGTACACCTAGGATCAAATATAATCTTGTTTGTCATTTAAAGCATTGCTCAACCTGGCCCTAACCTACCTTCCTATTATTCCCTTCCACATTCAATATGGTTTCGCCATATTGGCCACTCCATCTCCATCTCTATTGGCCATCTCTATGCCCTTGCCTCTTCCTCATCTCTACCTCTTGGAATCCCTGATTTCCTTCAAGATTCAACTCAAGCACCACCTTCTTTGTGGGGGCCTTTCTTAGTTTACTTAGCTTTTTGAGCTTTGCCTCCCACCTCTGTCCCTCCTACCCCAGGCTACCTTGTATCTGCTTTGTAGGGAGTTTGTGTATACCTATATACCTACATCATCTCCTCCCCAAAAATCTGGCTTCTCTTTGTATTCCTAACACTCAGCACGGTGCCTGTTGTTTAACAAATGCTCATTAAAACATGACAGACAGCTCAGGAACTGGATCAGAAGGTTTCTTCTATAAGGGAACAGCAAGAACTGAGTTTAGAGGAGGATCCTGAAACAAGTTGTGATGTTTGGAGTCGGGGTGAGGAGTTAGGGAATGGACCTTGGTCTGCTTGGGGGTTGTTGTGATCCCTGACCCCAAGAAGCTTATAGTCTAACAAGAAACAGGACAAGAAAGGGTACCTAACTTAAAAATGCAGCTTGTGGTAAATGCCAAGTGAGGGCTAGAGTCAAGAACTAAGGAGACCCACAGAAGGGGAGACGACTGAGGGGGAGGGTTGTCTAGGGCGGCTTTGCAGTGAAGGTAAGGAAGGCTTAGATGGAGTCTGGAAGGATGGAGAGGATTTGAATGGGCAGACAGAAGAGTGAGAGAGTGCTGTCCTACTCTATCATCCTCCCTCCTCACCTAGATTGAACAAGGTATTTCCTCTGAGGTTTGCATGCTCTTTGGTCCTTAATTTACCCTGTTTCCAGTATTACAGTACTTCATTGCTGTCTGTGGCCCGCAGTAACCACTGCTCCTTGATCCAACCCCAGAGCTCTGCAATGAAGAGGCTGCAATGGGCCTATGGCTCTGTATCCTGGAACCCTTTCCCTCTCTCTCTTTGGACAGGTGAGCTAAACCTTCACCAACAACCTGAATGCTCTTCATTCATTTGGTAGTCATTTTTTGGGCACTTACTGTGTGAAAGGCCCAGGGCTAAACATTGTGGGGCCTCCAGAAAAAAGATGTGCTCTTTGCCTTCAAAAATATTAGTAGGCTGACTTTCCCAGGTATTTGGTGCTAATTGGTGTTAGTGCTTAGGAAAGAAGGTGTGGAGTGAAAAAGATGGAAAATTGTTACATTTGGGTTTCCAAAATCTGGTGTTGATATGATCCCAGGGCTCCAGATGGAAGAGTTCAGAGTCAGTGTAGATATCGTATTAACCAGAAGCCTATTGCCAAAATACCCAATGCCCCAGGGTCCATGGCATCCCCAGGTTAGGGTCTAAATTGCAGGGGAATAACCTCTGATCATGACTGTTCACATTATATTACTCTTGGTCTAGGTACTGCAAACTATTTTTGACCTGGAGGGAATTGTGATTTCATCAGTGTAAAAGGAAGTCCCAGTGAAGAAACCTCCGTTACTAACAAAGCCGGTCATCTGCTCTGTACCGACTTTTCTTAGAGAGTTAGTTGTCTGGGCCACTGAGACTCTTAGGTGACTTTCCCATGATCCTACAGCCAGCTTATGTTAGAGGAAGAACTTGAGCCCAGGTCTCCCAGACTCTGAGGTCAGACTCTTGATCCACTGGATCATGTTGCTGGGTCAAGCCAATACCAAGCCAAGCTGTTGGCTCCGTTTTCTCTTGAATTACTTTCAATTCAATGCAATTAGGCTTTTTTATTAAGTGCTTTAAAGTTGACAAAACACTTTGCTCACAATCTTGTAAGGTAGGTAACAACAACAAACAGCAACAAAGCATATAATATTATTACTTAACATTGTTCAGGTTAATGTGGCTTTGAAATTGTAAAGTGTGTGGATAATCTGAAGGTCCTTTGTAAAGGGATTTAGTAGCCACAAACCTACTTTTCTTCTATGAGAAATAATTTGAGGATCTGTGGTTTCCTCAGTGGGATTATTCATTTCATTCCCACAGATTGGAATCTCTCTATTCTGTAGATGATTTTTATGAGTTGTTCTAGCTGAAAAAAAAAAATCCCCACTTGGTGGCCAGCCTTTTGATGGTGAGCTTACTTGTTCTGTGAAGTTTGGATTCAGTCAAAGGGCTGCACTTGAGGACCTAGAGGGCCACAGGTTCCTCACCCCTGGGATGGGCAATCCAATCCAATCCAATCCAATTTAGCAAATGTGTGCAAAGCACTTGGGCTTTGAAGACACAAAAACAAACAAGGAGAGAGTCACAGGATCATAGATTCAGACTCAGAGGGAGCCTTTGAGGCCATTGAACCCACCCCCTTCATTTTACAGAGGTAGAAGCCGAGACACAGATTTACCTAAGGTCACAAAGCTAGTAAGGCTCTGACCTGGAACTTGACTCCAGGGCTTGCTGACTCCAAATCCTATCTTCAGTCCCATTCTCTGTCTTCAAGGAGGCTACATTCTGCTGCAGGCAATAAAGCATGTAGCCAAGTTCAATATAGTGTGAGGGAAAGCGAGGAGGAAGAGAAGTCTGAGAAGATCCGATGAAGGAAGCAGCATCTGGGCTAAGCCTTGAAGGAAGACAACAGTTCTGAGGGGTGAAGGGAGATGAGGCAAGAGTGAGTTCCAGGCATGAGGGATGGCTTGTGCCAATGCATGGAGGTGGAAAATGGAAGGGACAGTTTGTTTGGCTGGCATGTACTGTTTGTAAAGGATGCTTGTGGCATGAAATAAGGCTGGAAAAATGGATGAGATCCAGGCTGGTCCCCAGAGCACAGAGACAGCAGCTCATCACAAACCTATTCTTGGACTCTTTCCAGTTTTGTAAGACTTTCCAGAGCTTGTGCTTCACTGGCCTTCAAGAACCTAAGGATACTTCCATTTGGCAATGAGGCAACTGAAGAGGGCAAATGCCATGACAGCAAACCCCATGAAGGCAAAATATCTCTATGTGTAACAGAAAACTTATATGTTGCTTTTAGGGTTATATCCATTATCTCTTTTGGTCTTTGCAGCAATTCTATCAGGTAGGTAATACAAGAACTATTATCCCCCATTTGACAAATGAGGACAAGGCTGCGAGGTTAGATTATTTGTCCAAGGTTGCATCCCCTGTAAGTGGCAGAGCAGACACTAGAACTGAAGTCTCCCGACTCAGTCAGCACCTCTTAGCTACAAGATTAACCTTAAGGTTCTATTTGAATGTGAACCCCTAAAAAGCAAATATTCCGACTAGGAATTATGGAGGAAATCTGGGGTAAAGGATGTCAAACAAACATGATCCAAAAAAAGGCAAGCTAGTTGTATGGTGAGAGTGGGATATGATCAACAGACAGCTCATGTGCTCCACTGATAACTTTTGAGATTTGAAGAGAAAGTGAGAAAGGCCCCTAGTCTATTGATTGGACCCTCTAGGCAAATCTTTGGGAAAATATGGACAGGATATGCAAAAGATGAGCAGGCATGGATGGGTTCCTTCATCACCAGAAGGGTAATGGTATTGATAAGATTACAGATACAATATAGATTATATGAGTAAGCCCCTCTCCCCCTCCTGCCAAAGCACTGTCAATCCCCTTTACCTCCTCCCCTCCCACATTTTCCCTAGATGTGAAATATGGGCAGGATTGCCATTTTTGTAGTCTCTGTTGTGCTGATGTTTCTCTTTCTGCTACCTTATGGCAGCAGATGGCCTCACATACCATTATAAAAGGAGAATTTGAGTAGACCACAACGGGCTTTAACCTGTATTTATCTTTGTTTTATTTTACTGGTGTTTGTGCAATGTCCTGATCATGGTATAAAAACTAGTTAACCTCCTGCTTGACATTTCTTTTCACAAAGTTCTTTCATGTGATTTAATAGGCCAAAGTCCAGTCCAGATGAAGGGATTTCGACATTTCTTCCATTTGCTTACTTCAGTGGAAATTCCAGTGACTTACCTGCTGTCATTTTTCAGGGTTTTGTCTTATTTTGTTTTTGTTAAGCTAGAGTAAGATCTCTCACTGGAGTGTTCCGGGGGCTTTCCAATATTTCTTTTCAATTAGCACCTTGAAAATATAAACTGATGTGCTTATTAAATTTCCAAATGACACAAGGTTGTGAGGTATGGAAGCATTTTAACAGTCAAGTTGATCTTGGCACACTAGAAGAGTGGACTGAATCTAATGAGATGAAATGTGATGGGGACAAAAGTAAAAGTCTCATACTTTGTTTAAGATGAATGGAGTACAAGATGTGTGTTTTTGGCTAGACGAGAATTCTTGTGAAAGTGAGGGTTTTAATGCCCTGCAAGATCAATATGAGTCAAAAGTTTTTGTAGATGCTTTCCAAATACTCGAGATCCTGGATTTCACAAAGAACCAAATGAATTTCTATCCAAGAATCTCATACAGCTGGCTGGCTGGGTGCACCCTATACCTTCTCAGAGGGATATTCTAGAGGGCTAAAGTAAAACTAGTTCTTAGTATGCCAGATACCACCTGTTGGAAAGGAGTGATAAGTAAAAGTAAGGCAACCATTCTTAAAACCAATTGATGCACCTCTCAACTGTGTGGTGCCTTGGTGAAGCAAGCTCAGATTTCACAGCAATTCTCGGAACTGCTAGCATGATAGACAACATAAAAATAGTAGTCTTGCTCTTATTTCATAGTTGAGGAAGGTCACAGGCATATGTGAGATGAAGAGGAAGGACTCTAGGAGATTTTAATAACGCTGAATTTTAAGGATAACCCTATAGGAGTAACTCTTAACCTGTTTGGTGTCATGAACTTTTGGCAGTCTGGTGAAGCTTAAGGACCATTTCTTAGAACAGTGCTTTTAAATGCATAAGATAAAATACAAAGACTTACAAAGGGAGTCAATTATTTTGAAATACTTATCAAAATACTTTTAAAAATATAAGTTTTAATAGGAACCATGCATGGTGGTAGTAGAGGGAGGGAAGTAAAATCATAGGATCTTTACAATAAAAGGGACCTAGAAAGTCCAGTTTCCAACTTGGTGTAGGAACCCCTTCTACAACATCTCTGATAGCCTGTGAAAACTTCCATTGATTTTTTTGCCTCCCTAAGCAATCTGTTCCATTGTAGGACAGTTCTCAGTATTAAAAATGGGGTACTACTGGTGTCTTATCCCCTATTTCTTTGTCTTGACTCCAACCTCATGTTGAGTCAAAACCTGACTCTGTTACTATTACCCTTTGGTACCTAGTTCTTACTGGAGCTACGTGGAATCATTCTGTTCCATATTCCTTTCCAACTTTAAAGATATCTATGGTGTTTGCCCTTAATATTGTCTTCTCCAGGCTAAACATCCCAGTTCTTCTACCTGCTTACTTACCTATTGAATGTCAATTTTCAGTTTCCTCACCATCCTGATACCCTTCATCTGGATGGGTTAAACTTTGTTTCTGTGCATCTTTAAATATGGTACCCAGAACTGAATGCAGTACTCTAGATGTGGGTTGCCCAGGGCAGAGTAAAGTAGGACAAGTATCTCCTATGCTTCAGGGGTGGGTAACCTGCGGCCTCAAGGCTACATGTGGCCATCTAGGTTCTTGGGTGTGATCTTTTGACTGAATCCAAGTTGTATAGAACAAATCTTTTTATTAAAGGGATCTGTTCTGTGAAGTTTGGATTCAGTCAAAGGGCTGCACTTGAGGACCTAGAAGGCCACATGTGGCCTTGAGGCTGCAGGTTACCCACCCCTGACTAGACAATTTGTGTCTATGAATGCAGCCTAACTCCAAAACATTTCTTTTCTTACAGCTTCCTATGACATGAGGGATCCAACTGGTCAGAAGCACTCACTTACTGTTTGTGCCAATCATGGCAGCATCATAGACCTGCTGAAACACACACTGGAGAAAGCACAAAAAATGTACTCAGCCAACGCATATACCCACTGGTATAGGCAATATGGCTGTGAGGGGAAAGATTTTAAGCAGGCTTTTGATGCCCTCTCCTCAGTGAAGGCTGAGTATTACAGTGCAGGAGAATGAGTGACAGTTCTTAGAGAAGCATTGTGCAACCATCTGTTTGTCCCGTTGAATGGATTGAACTGAAGCCAGAGGGCCTTGACCATAGGTTAAATGATTCCCCAGATCTCAAAGAAAGCTCCTGATTCCCACTGATCTTGGGGGAAAAAAAAGTAGCCATTCTTTTACTGTTTTTAATAGTTCAGGAAAGAAATAACTACCAAAAAGACATACCAACATTCAGCAACATGAGCCTAGAAACCAATATCTCACCAAATCAAAGATGATCTTTTTACTCAGGCTTAGCTGTAGCCTATTGGGCCTATTCTAAATGTAATGCTGAGGGGAAAAAAATGAGCCTATCAGCATTTCTACCAGAAAATTAGATTACATCTGGAAATAAATAATCAGTTCAGCTGAAAAATGAAACAGTGGGAAGAAGATTAAGGCCAGAAACTGATGAATGAAAACTTGTGTGTTTCTCCAGAGTAAGTATGCCAGGTAGCTGAAACTGGTCCTCTTGTTTCACATGTAATCGATTGGCCAACAAGGGAAGTTCACTGTGTTCCTGGGCCTGTCTGTAACACAGCTCCTCTATTGCCAAATAGTGGCATGTTATCTAGTTGACACTAAGGAAAAGTGACTGAAACCAACACTAAGGAGGGAGGTGGGTGGGGGTGGGGGAATTTGTCAGGGCCATCAGATATCTACCTTCCATTGTGATTAGGTTAACAAAGTTGGGTTATCTCCAAAATCTGGCAGTGGAGCAGAGGGAGGCTCAGAAATCAGAGAATGCAGGATGAAGGAGGTAGAGGGTCAAGTGTGCGTTTCTTAGCTGTAAAGAGACTGGACTGACTGGCAACCTTTAGCACCAAAGATGAGATTGACTTTTAGGTGGCATGTGCTATTAACCACATTTTATTCTACTCCAAACTCAGTTCTTACTCGATTAATAATGTGAAGAAATGAAAGTATGTGGAAGATGACTAACACCCCAAACATATTTTATTCTTGTCCCTGCATAGAAAATAGGAAAAGTACTAAAGCCAAAAAAAAAAAAAAAGGCTCAACCTAACAGTGTAAACATTTTCTTCTGTGGGCTGGGCTTGGCAGGGTAACAATCCAACAGTTATCCATCCTCTGCCAGACTCAGAGACTGGGGGACAGCCGGAGAGCAGCGCACTGGGCCCTGCCCTTCTGGCTATGGCAGGTTGTAGTGGCTGGGAGACTTCTCCTTCAGGACAGAGGGGATAGAGCCAGGCTTCTTATTCTGGAAGCTGGCCATAGTTTTGGAGTAGTTTTGCTGGAAAAAGGAGAAAAAAAGAAATAGGGGTGGTCAGAAGGGGTACAGTTGGCAAGAGCCTGGCCTTTGGGGGGGGTCCCCTACGATATATTGATATATCACACTTGCTGATGTTTTACACTTGTCTGAGAATTCAAATGATCCCAACTGTATTTGTATTTCTGTCTTTTTCATTCTTTAACACTGAAGAAACCACTTGTGATTAAAAAAGATTCAAAATCTGTTTTGAACATTCAGAAGGCATGGCCCCTTTAAGAAAAGTCTTAAAGGGAAAAGAAAAAAAGCCTTGTGGGAAGAAAGAAGGTAAGAATGTGGGGCTATTAGTAAAGTGGATGACATATAGGCCCTGGAGTTAAGAAAGCCTACCTTCAAATTCTGCCTCTGACAATTAACCACATGACCACTGACAACTTTACTTTTTTGAGTCTCTGTTTCCTCATCTATAAAATGGGAGATAATACAGTCATGATATGTAGGTGCTATTATGATCCCCATTTTAAAGTTGAGGAAACTCATATTGACAGAGGTTAAGTGAGTAACTCAGGGTCACAAAGCTAGTTAAGTGGTTGAGTCAGGAGTTGAATTCATGTCTTCTGGCTCACGGTGCAGCATTCTATCTATTCTGCTCGCTAGCTTCCTCTGTAGGCTCTATCATACCAGGAGAAGAGGAATCGTCTATCTCAGCAAGGCCCATCCAAGGCCCAACACTATCCCTCTCAGCTACCTGCATTTTGAACCCAGATCTCTCTACAGAGAAAGAGTGTCTAGTGTGTGGTGACCCCAAATGGGAGTATTTTCTTACATTCTTAGTACTCCTCAGATGACTATTATGTATAAGGCACTGTAGGTGATACAGGTAGAGATCTCTGGTTCCATTACTTACAAAATTCTGCTGTCACCTCTGTTCATAATATTGACTCAACTCATTGACTGACCTCTAGTAAGTGATTTAGCCTCAGTGTTTTTCAGTTTCCCCACATATGACACAAGGAAAACAGTTCTGCTACAGTGCTGTGCTGTATACCTGGACACTATGATACATTACTCTTTCGCAAAGAACTTTCCCTTTCATCATAATTAAATCAAAGTATTAACTGAGAAGAAAGCAGATCATTGAAATATCTCGAGCTCCTTGAAAGAAAGTGGTGAGAACAATATCTATTTTTAATTTACCTTCTGGTCCAACTTCATTCTGGCATTGTAGAAAGAGACCGAGTCGGGACAGTCAGGGAGGACTGATGTTTGGATTTGGCCAAATTTATCCTCATCATCTTCAGCCTATGGGAAAGGCCAAGAGAACAGCCATTAAACCCATGAAATGGTTGGGCAGCTTCCCAGAACTATGTTCAAGAGTCCCTTGACTCTTGAGGGCCATGGAAATTAATTAGTTCATTCATCTGTTATTGAACAAACATTTATCAGATGTCTATTATGTACAAAGCACTCTGCTAGGGGCTTGGTGGGGGGAGAATAGAAATGTAATAGGGTCTTCCCTGCCCTCAAGGAGCTTACAATCTGATGGGGGTAGGACAAAACATGGACACAAATGATACAGATTCTAATTCATATCTAGTATGCTACATGCATAAAAAGATTATAATGTGCAATTAGATCCCATGTAGTCTGGTGGATCAGGGATAACTCATGGAGAAGTAAGTATTTGAATGAGGCTTGCAAGTGTCCCCCTCTCCTACGCTGGTTGCCGAAGCCTTGTCATCAAAGCTTTGGCCCCAAGCATCTTTACATTTACTCTCTTTCCTTTCCCCACTGGGGCATCCTAAGTAGGAAGAAATCTACAACTCCCAGCTGTGTGACAAGAACTAGCCAAAATCCCATTTGGATTTTAGCATACCACAGGGAAGGACCATGAGGGCCAGGCAAAGGCTCCAACCTGGACCAACTTAGAACAAAAGTCTAATTCTCTGACGGGATGAAGGTAGCCCTTGTTAGGAGGCTTGGAATTTTGAGGAGGGTGGAGGGGGAACCTGTTATAAATCCACAAATGTATATCAGCTGCTTCTTAAAGGCAAGTGCTAGATACTGTAGGCGATGGTATAAGACATGGTACTTGCCCTCGAGGCATTTATAATCTAGGTAGGGAGACAAAACATAGAAATGTAAAAAAACAAAACAAAAACAAAAAAACCAATAATCAAAGACCCAATCTTGGGGAGTACCCACAATTAAGGGCCAGGAGGGAGATGAGGATTCTGAAAAAGGAAATAGAGAAGCCGCAGTCAGAAAAGCAAGAGTAGGATCCAGGATAGCAGAAGGTCATGGAAGGTGAGCACCTCATGAATGAGAAGCTACATGTTTGAAAGGAAAATGGAGAGGATGGAAATACTACAAAGAGAGGAGCTAATTCAAACAGGGTCCTGGAGAAGACAAGAAGATAGTACAGGGGGGCTTGCCTCTCATTTCCTTTGAGAGGAAGGGAAAGAAGAAAGGACAGGTGGAGAAGGAAATATTTTGAGGTAACAAGGAAAGACAATCTCACACACCTGTCCTCAACTTTTTTTTTTCCAATAAGTAGGTGACTGTAGTGAGTTAGTCCTCCGAGAGCAAGGGGAAAGGAGAACATTTGGAGTTTGAGAGCAGAGAAGCTTAGAAAATACTAGGGAAGTGATAAAAGGCCCGAGGGACTGCTCCAGGTCAGTATGACAGGTAGTGGGTGTCATCTGCACGATCCCATGACTTCCTCTAGCTGGCAGGACTCTCCTGCCCATATGAAGGGTAAGGCAGGTGGAAGGAGTAGCCCAGAGTCCAGGCCTGGCCTGGCCAAAGGTGGAGGAGGCTCTCATCTCCTATGGCTCCTTTAATCTGTACCCTTCACGGAACATGTGACCTTGTGTGATCTGTCCCCTTTGGATCTGACCTTGCTCCTATCTAGACTAAGTTCCCTGAAGGCAGTGACTGTATCTAGATTTTCAATCCAATTCAATCCATAAATATTTACAAAGTGCCAACTAAATGTAAGGAACTGCTAGCTATTAGGGACCCATGATGCAAAAAGACATGATCTTTGTCTTCAAGGGGCTTACAATTTAATAGGGAGAAGAGAAAAAATAACATCACAAGGCAGCACATTATTAAGTATATGGGAGGAGCCAATGTGGCCTGAGATATTCAAGGAGCCAGGAGGTGCTTGTAGCGATGGGGGTGGGAGGGCATCTTGGAGGAAGGGGAACCTGGAAGGGGGAGGGGAAGGGGTCATTCCAGCTTCAGGGGTGGTGGGCAACCTAGCACAGAGGCTTGGCCCAGTGACTTGTGTCTGATTCCGTCCTCAATAATTGTTTGTTGGGTGATTTCTCCTTCCATAGGGAATTTTCTTTGTCAGGGTCATGTCCTGATCTTAATTTGAATGCCCTTATATTTCTCTCATATCACAGTCTTTTTTTTTTTTAAGTGCCTCCTTGTAAACTCTCATTCCCTAGTTCTTAGGAGTTACTTAAAAAATAAACGTTGGCTGAATGAATGAATGAATTAGAATAAGGGCGTCTTCAAGAACATCATTGAAGACTGACCATGGAATCTACGCTGGCTCAGGAGTTATGTCACTAGAAGGGAATAAATGAACTTGATAAATTGGGAGAGATGAGGTGAAAAGTTCCAGTGAGCTGAAGGACTGCCCCTGTGGTGTGCGGCATGGGAGTAGGTAAGGGGGCCTTAATTGCCACTCCATGGTCTAGCAGGAAGCTTGTAGTCTTTCTGGAGGTGGCCCATTCTGCACAGGGTGGCAATGAGGGTGGGGGGTAAACTGGCTTTTCCTCTCCATAGGGCAGCAGAGGTGGTGGTTGTTGCAGGGATGGTGGTAACACCATCTCCAGCATCTGGATGGTTTGGAATGACTTAGAAGTACCTCAATGAAGACTCTACAGGCAATTGCTACTAGTGCCTTCTAAACAACTGGAGTGGGACTACCCATTTTCTAGCTAGTCTTTAAACTACTTTGGGCAAGAAGGAGAGTGAAATTTCAACCAGATGCTCTTTTCTACCAGTCTTTCCCTCAATAGTCAGGGCATAGATGTTGAAGAAAGCCATTGGCTCCTTCTCTTTGGCTAGCATTGCCCTGACTAAATGAGCTCAGTTCTGCCAGGAGAGACTGGGAGCTAAGGCTGGGTTCTACCCTTGAGGCTGCCTGGGGTCCCACTCCATGCCACCTTCACAAGCTGACCCCCATTTACCTTACCAGTGATGTGAGTTTGCTCAGGGGTAGCAAGCCTAGTCTGATGCTACCCTTAGCCTTCAGAGGCGCTTGTACATCCTCGTGGATGAGGAAGGATTCGTTGTACCAGATATCAAATTCTGAAAGGAGGAAGATGGCACCGTGAGAAGAGGAAGTCTTGTGGGTCCGAACAGCACTGACTTCTCCCCATAATGATAATCACGAGACCAAGCATAACTAACATTTATATAGGGCTTTAAAATTTGTGAGGTGCTTTAAATACATTCTTTCTTTGGAGGCCCAGCAGGATGTCTACAGTACTTCAAGGTTTACAGAATACCTTCCTCAATGGTATTGTCCCTGTTTTACAAATGAGAAAACTGAGGATTAGGAGGACGAATGCAACTGAAGCCAGGTTCAATGAAAGGTCTGATTACAAGGCTCTTTCCATTGTACCACGCATTCAATTCCTGACCTACTGTCAGGGTGACTTCAACTTCTCTCACTGACTCGGTGGGCTCATAGATGGGACTCTACACCATGGGTAGGGGTAGGGGGAGCAAAAGAACCTCCCTTCTCCACCTTGCTTAATTCTGTTAGCGCTCCTAAGAGCTGGATGTCCAGACCCACTCCTTTGAGAGTATTTCGTTTTTTAAAGGCTGTCAGGACTCTCTATTCTTTAGCTGCTGAGAGTAGCTCATCTATCAGGTTGGAATGAAGAACTTCTTCATACCTTCCTACTTGGATAATGTTTTCACACCTCCTAAAGGAGTAATCAAGTATTAACACTTGCGTAAACATCCACAGCAAATCAGGTCTGATACCTTAGAGACAAGACCAGAAAACTGGTATAGAAGGCTTAGCCTTCTATGATCTCCTAAATCTTGGCTAGGAGAACCATTTTCAGAGTGAGAGAAGTACCATATACCATGGTGTGTAAGTGTGACCTTTCAAGGATAAAAATTACCCACAATTTGGAATTTGGGATAGATTCTAGGTCCCTCGATGAGGCTTTTCCGCTAGAAATATTCCTAAGAGCAAGCTGCTGTCTTGATGTTCTCCTGAAAAAGAACTGTCTGGCTTTTAGGGGCATGGCTGATCCTTTTGCCCATCAATAGCTAGTTGCTCTATGGCTCTATCCAGTTGGAGTGAAACTTCTTTCCCACATCCTAAAGGAATAAAAGCACTATTGTATATTGACTTTAAGACCTTGTCAGCTGACCTGAACATTAGCACCTCTTCCTCCCCATCCTAAGGACTTGGCCCTTTAATCAGGTTAAATTATTTTTTTTTTTTAGTTGGTGCCCTTGAGCACAGTCTGCTGATAGAGAGGCTGCTTACCTGTGAGCAATCGTTGACGACATTGGTCCACCAAATGCTGGCAGTACTGAATTTCGGCCTTGAGGTCCCGCAGGTCTTGGTATTCCCCCCGGTACTGCTTCTTCAGTTCCTTCAGCTTCAGAATTAGTAAGAACTCTTCTTCATCCATAATCATCAGCCCTTTATTCTCATATTCCCCTGGAGGTGGAAGATTGGAGGATGAGGGAAATGCACAGAGAGCAGTTGGGTTCATGCCCTCTAAATGGCAGAGCTCTTGACCTAAGCTGCTACCCAGAAAGACTCTTCCAATGATCTTAAGCACAGCATAGAATCATAGGATTTAGAGCTGAAAAGGAGCATAGACATCATCTAGGGCGGGGATGGGGAACCTGTGGCACAAGACAGCAGGTTCCCCACCCCTGATCTGGGGCAATCCCCTAATTTTACAAAGTGGGAAAATGGAGCCCATGGAGGAGAAAGTAACGACCCAGGTGAAGTAGTTAAGTAGCAGAGCATAGATCTGAACTCTGGACTGTGACTCCAAATCCTGCATCCTTGTCATTGTGCCGTAGCTGCCTGTTAGGACTAAGTGTTTAGGGCAATGCTTGCACTCAACTAGTGCCCACTAACTGTTTTAAGAGTTTCTTATTTCCAATCACTGGATTTCAGATATAGGGAAGACAGCAACCTTTCATCTAGCCTTGAGCTCAGTTTTTTTTTCTCCTCCTTCTTAGAGGGAGTCCACACTAGAGTAATTGGGATGAAGAGGAATCCCCACCAAACATGTATCAAATGGTCCCCAGCTTGGTCCTGCAGCCTGGGCTTCCAAGCTGCACCACTGAAGAAGCACTGAGATAGGAAAAGGTGTCTGAGAAACTTGGTGCGAATCGACTGCCCCAAGATAAGGAGAAGACGTAAGCAGTGAGTCATGGGTGGGGACCCCTGGTCACATCCACTAAACCCTGCTCCTGTGACCAGAGATGAAAGGGGATCATCAGTCAGTCAGTCCTCTTACCACTCACTAGAGAAGAGGTGGGGAGCAATGGGGAGCAAATGGTGGTTCTAGGCAGGAGCTAATTTCCCACCAACAGAAAGCCCTGATCAAGTGACTTCACAGGTTCTTATCAGGATAAATCGGACCCAGGAGTTCACTTGTGAAATGGCATCAGTACTGGGGCTTGACAGTGCCACTGTGGTGTCAGCCATAGACATCATGAAATGAGAAATATAGGACAAGGGACTGTAGGTTACCCAGCACCCAAGAACTAGCCAAGAACCTGGGTAGAAATAGCAACAAGGGAAAGAATCCACCAGCATGGGGCCTGACATTTTTTTCCTATGGTAAGCCTAAATTTTTCTGGCCTGCTGTTTGGAACTAAGAGCTAAGAGCACTTCCCCCAACCCACTCTGCCTGTTGAGCTGAAACCACAGACCCGACCAGGTCTGTCAAAACAGCCTCCTTCAAGGGAATGTGAAGGCCCTCACTATTCATATTTGACTTCCACTTGCCCAGGTCCTTTTCTTGAACCCTAGGGAACACTTCCCTTTATTACCTTGCTCTTCCCGGAAAGTTTTCTGTACATCCAATGCCTCCTTGGTAGTGTCAATTTCTTTCTTGATAGAATTGATCCGCTGAGCAGTCTCACTGGCTTTCTTTCTCCGGTCATTCAGTATGGTTTTGTTCTGCTTGAAGATCCGATTGATCTCACTGCCACGTTCATTTTTAAATTCCTCAAAAGCTGATGGTTTAGGAGGTGGGGTGCCGGGTCTGGGAAACCAACAAGAAAGGGAAAAATTAAAAGATGATCTTGGTATAGGAGACTCATTTTCAACCCTTGGATTATCTGTGGTCATGGCCCCACTGCTCCTTGCTAAGAACAAGAGGATAAAGTGTTCTACTTCTTTGTTCAGGAAATCTGACATTCCTTTATCCAATTATAATCTTTTATCATCTCATCTTCCCTGGGCCTTATAACCCCCCTAACCCTGTTCTTGGTCCTTACTGTGACCTCCAATCCCTCTACTTCTCAATGCTTTCTTCTATCTCTCCTATCTTGACTCTTTGGTGAACCAGTTGAACTCAACACCATCCTCAACACTCAAATTCCTTGCTCTCGTGTCTTGTTGTCAGTCCCATCTAGCTAAACCCGAGCTTTGGATTACTTCCACCATCCATTGCCTTTGCTTCTATTTACATACTACTGAATGGAGCTGTAGAAAAGTCACAAAACCAAGCTGACTGGGTCTATTACAAATTTATATTAGGTAATCCCAGGGAAGCAAGGTAATTCTTTACCATCTCCCTGATTTATTAGCTTTTGTACTCAAGACAGTGGCTATTCCAAACCTTCTCAATCCTCTTCATGCCTCCCACAGAAGCCCTTCTTCCCCTCTCTGAGATGAGGGCCTCATCTCATATTTTACCAAGGTATGCGGAACCTATTCACTTAGAGCTTCCTCTTTTTCCCTCCTCCTCTTTTCATCTCACTTGGGGATCTTCCCTCAATATGTCCTCATTCGCTCTTGTCTAGGATGAAGAGGTGGCCTTTTGCCGTACTAAGGTAAACTCCCCTACAGGCAATCTGGACCCCATCCCCTTCCATCTTCTCTAGTAGGTTGCCTCTACTATCATCCCCCATTCTCTCTCCAATCTTCAATCACTTGTCCTCATACTTTTGCTACAACAAATAGGCCCATGTCTCCCCCACCTTTAAAAAGTCCTCACTTGCTCTGATCACCATTACTGGAATCCTACATCCCTCCTCCCCTTCTCGGCTAAATTCCTTGAGAGAACTGTCTATACTGGGTTCTCCATTTCTCTTCTAACTCGCTTCTCTGCAATTTGGCTTCCAACCTCATTCAACTAAAACTGGCCCCTCCAAAATGATCAATGATCTCTAAATTGCCAAATTTAATGGCATTTTGAAAATCCTCATTCTTTTTGACCTCTTTGACAATGCTGACCTCTCTCCTTGTGGGCATTTCTAGGTTTTTGTGACACTTTTCTCTCCTGGTTCTTCTATCTATCTGACCATTCCTTCTTGGTCTACTTTGCTGTATCTTCATCTAGGTTATGCTTACTAACTATAGGTGTCCCCCAAGGCTCTTCTCTCTTTCCTCTGTACTATCTCACTTGGTGATCTCAACAGCTCCTATGGATCCAATTGTCATGTCTATGCAGGTGATCCTCTGAGCTATATTCTTTCTTTATCTAGCCCCAGTCTCTCTCCTGCTCTCCAATCTTGGATTGCAAGCTGCCTCTTGGACATCTCAAACTGCATGTCTCATGGGTATCTCAAACTCAACATGTCTAAGTCAGAATTTCTCTTTCTCTTCTTTCCAGCTTCCCTGTTACCGTCAATGATAAACAAGCCCACTTTGGTGTCCTTCTCCACTCCTCTTCCACTCATCCGATATATCTAGCATATTGCAAAATCTTGTCATTTCTGCCTTCACAACATCTCTTGTATACATCCCCTTCTCTTTATTCCCAGTAAAGGTCCTCATCACTTCACTTCTCCCCCCAGCTATCACAATAGCTTTCATCTGCCTGCCCCTCAAGCCTCTCCTCCACTCTATCCATCTTCCACTTCCGCCGATGTCCTAAAGGGTAGGTCTGACCATGTACTCTACCTTAATAAACTCCAGGGTCTCCTTATTACCTGTAGGATCAAATGTAAAATCCTCTGTTTGGCATTTAAAGCCCTTTACATCTGCTCCCTTCCTACCATTCCAGGCTGCTTACCTTTTCCTCCCCTCTACACACTCTATCATCCAGCTATAATGGCTTACTTGCTCTTCCTCACTCATGAGACCCCATCCAAGAACGTGATTGTTCCCTGTGTCTGGAATGTTCTACTCCCCTTGTGTCCCTCCACCTCTTAGTTTCTCTGGCTTCTGTTAAGATTTAGTTTTAAAGTCTACTTTTCTTCAGGAGGCTTTTCTCAGTTCTCCCTCACCACTCTCACTGCTTGCCCTCATTTCTGCATTCTGATGTCACCTACTATTTACACTACAGATCCAGTATGCACATGTGGTCTCCCCTATTAGACTGTGTGTTCTTTGAGATCAGGGAGTATTTTTTTGTCTTTTTTTTGTGTCACCTGTGCTTAGCATGGTGCTTGGCACATGGTAGGTGCTTAATAAATGCTTGTTAGTTTTGGCCCAGATCCCTTGCTTCTGAAAGGAGATATACTTTAAAGGAGTTCACCTAGTGGTACGGGAATCTTCCTTTGGGGAATCTGACACAACAGGTTCACTGCTGGAAGCTTCCCGATCATGGGAGGGCGCATCCTTGACATCTGCTTCTTTGGAAGATGATAACAGCTGAGACCTTGATGTGGAAAGACTGTCTATGTCCTTTGCACTCACAGGGCTGAGGAGGCCTTCCTTCTTGGTAGAAGTTCTGAAAAAAGGATATAGGGTAAGAATCTTGGACGTCCTGGCCCTGACAGAACCCTGCTGTTATTACAGATACTATGGCAGGGCAAATATTATTAGCCTTTGCCACGTCTTCCTATAGTAAAAGGAAGATTGCTAATCTGTTATTCCTGGTATGTTTTCCTCAAACATTTTCAAAGGAGCCATTGATAGTTCTGAAGAAATCTTAAGTTTTTAGAGCCTTGTAGTTATTGGGTTGATTTTTTTTGGGGGGGGCACAGAATTGTCCCCTCTCCAAATCCCTAGATCCCCATGACAAGTGGCCTTTCTATTCATACCTGGGTCAAAGCACAACAGGTGAGATGTTGGGCCCTGCCTTTGGATAATGGAACAAGCCTCTCCACTGCTCTAATTAGGAATGATTAGCCCTGTCACATATATACTTTCTTAATACAAGGAAGCTTTTGTTGTCTAATTTTTCCTTCCATGTTTCTCTTCTATTAATATGCATTTAGCAAAAAATAATATGGAAATGCCGATGTGTGAAATACATTTTGTCAGATGCAAAGAAAAGTACCCATGTTGATTTAAGAGTTAGGCGTGGAGGGACTTGTCTTGCATGGTCATTGTGGCCTCCAGCTCAATTCATCTAGGAGCCTCGGATCCTCCAGCTTTCTCCCTTATCTTGTCTCCCAGGTGAGAATTATGACAATGTGTCAGTTGAACTAAAGGCAATAGAACACAGAATCATATTCACAAAATTCTGATCTCATGATTTTCAACTGTGAGACAAAGATAGGGAAGCAATCTGAAGGATCAGAGAATCCTAGATGAATTGAGCTGGAGGCCACAATGCCCATGCAAGACAAGTCCCTCTACCCCAACCCTTGAATTGGCCTGATTACTGGGTTCTGTTTTCTATCTGACAAAGTACTTTCCTCCCCACATTGGTATATCCATGTTTCTTTTTCCATATCTTTTGGAATGGAAGTTTTCTGAGGGTAAGGATATGGCCTTTAATATAGCTAATGAATTACTTCCTTAGTATACATTGCTCCTTTGGGACCAATGGATGGAAATTGCAGGGAGGCAGATTTCAGCTCATTATAAGAAAGAGTTTTCTAACAGCGAGAGCTATCCAGTAATGAAATTAGTTGCCCCATGAAATAGTAAGTTATTTGTTCTTAGCATTTTATTTTTTTCAAGCAGAGACTGGATGATGACCTCATAGAGATTTTATAGAAGAGATTCATCCATCAGACAGGGGACTGACTGAACTAGATGGCCTCTCAGAGCATATTCCAAGATTCTGTTGAAGGTGAATTAGCTCTTTCTGAGAGCCACAAGGAACCTTGGTTAAGGGGGGGAAACTAGGCTAATTATAATCATTTTTCCTTATGAGAACAAGTCAATCAATAGCTCGAACAACAGTGAAAAGGTCCAACATAGACAGGCAAGAATAAGTAGTGGCCTTGTGAGATAACTCACCCAGTAATATCTCTGAATGTCTTCTTGAACTTGCCTTTCTTCCCAGGCTTAGCAGAGAATGGTGCAACACCAAGCCCAAAACCTTGTCCATCTGTTTCTCCTACTGTGTTGCCTTCTACATCAACTAGTCCGGCCTGAATAAGGACAATCCCAAAGACCAGCAAAGATTAGAATTCTGTCCCATGATTGATTGGATTCCTCTCCTCCCAAAGATTAGGCTGGATGGTTAATTGAGTTCATAGACATAATCTCTTCAATCCTTAGCCCCTAAGTAGGCTTGCTGGAGAAGTTAATCACTGAGGCCTGTTTTCAGATGAATTCCTAATAGGGTGTGGGCTCCTGTTGGGAGTCCAAAGTGAATCTTACTCTTACCTATTTTCTCCCTAGTTCTGCCCCAATGCAAGAAGCCACCTTCTCTGGAAAAGGTCTGGTGATGGAGAATCCCAAGCAGGAGTTCCAGTCTAGAAAAGCCCTGCAAACCCCTACCTTGTGGACGGTGGTAATGGTCGCAAAGTCATTCTTGTTTATCAGGGTATACTTTTTGCGTAAACTGGCCTCCACTTCTTCTTCTTGTTGGCTTTGGAGAGAGAATGACATTAGTTACTGAGTGAAAGCAACTTTCCTCTGGAGGTCAGGTTGAAAATGTTGAGCATTTATCTAAGTAAGTTAGAATTTTGAAGTAAAAAAAACAAACAAACCCACAAGAAAGAACTCTTTGCTCTCACTTAACATTAGATACCTTGTAATATTGAAGCTATATTTCCATTATGTAATCCAATTGAACATCATTCAATTCAAAGAACATTTAATAAGAACTTATTATGTGTCAGGCATTATGATAAGCCCTCTTGACAAAAACAAAACTGTCTCTATCCTTAAGAAGATTATGTTCTGTACTGGATGTGAAGGGGAGGAATTACTAGATGCACACCAATGAATTTGGCCTAAGAAAAATAACACTGGAGAGACCCAGGGAGGCTTGACAAAAGAGGTTCCCCTTGAACTGAGCCTTGAAGGAAGACAAAGATTTACAAAAGGCAGAGGAAGATGGTTATGTGAATGAATGGATATAGAATGGAAGATAAGAGTACTGAATTTAGGAGAGGGCTACTAGTTCAGTTTGGCTGGAACATACAGTTCATGGAAGGGAAGTAGAATGAAATAAATCTGGAAAGGTGGGAGTTTGATTGTGGAAGGTATTCAGTGCCAGGCTATGGGATCTATATTTTTTTTTATCTTATAGGCAATTGGGAGCTACTGAAGGTTTTTGAATGGGGAAGTGACATGTTGAGGCTTATTATCAAAATTCAAGAGCCAGTATCAGTGAGACTTTCGACAACTCAGAGAATCAGTTGACCAGAGAGTCAGTGGCAAACTCAAAGGCTGAGCTTAAATGTGTGCTTCTAAGCTCATTGCTCTATTTCACCTCACAGCTTAGAGCAAGAATGTGGAGTTCAAGGATTTACAGAAAACTGATACTCACAAAGCTAGGGCAAGCATGAGCTTTATTATTATGCAGTGCAACAAGCAGCCAAAAATGAAAGAAACACACACACACACAGACAAAACACAGATATTTGGCCACACAGAGCCAAGGTCACTCATAGTAGGGAGATGTGTATAATGGTAAGACCTCAGTGGAAGTACATGCTTAGAATGAGGTCTAAACAAGAAGTCTCATACCTTAAAGGTGAGTTGAGCTGGGGCAGACAATCAGCATCAGATGTGGAAGGGAGCATTCTTTTTCAGACCCAGATGCAGTGGGGAAATTCCCCAGGTTTGCTGATTGGTGCCAGACTCAGGTGGAGTAGTTTTCTATTCAGGTACCAGAAACTAGGTGAAGGGGGTGGTGGTGAGGGTGGGGAGGGTGGTAAGGGTGGCGAGGTTGTCCAGGTTATCCGATACACAGCGCTGCAGTGACCAGGAGCCTCCTCCAATCAGGGGTCAAGGTTATTCATAGGCTCAGAATAAGTCAGGGCAGTGGGAAAAGTGCAAGCTGTCTGTTATTGCTGACGTGCTTATGGTCATTAGGACCACTTTGCCTAAGTGATTCCACATTGGAGTCTCATCATTTATAACTACAATATCAAATGATAAATTTTTTAAAAACTACAATGATCACACTCAGTATATGTATTAAATAGTTTCTAGTTCAGGTCACAGAAGAGACAGTTTACATGTTTGATTATCAAAATAGGTGTGGAAATGACTTTGATTTTATAAATATTAAAGTGAAATTATACTATCACTTATTAGAAGATAATCATTTGGAATAGCTATGAAACTATAAATAAGTGAAGGTCTTCTCATTGCTTAAATAGCCACCACAAGTACAGGACTGTAGCTCCTCACTGTAAGCCTTTTCACTCTGATTGTACATATTAAGATTCCAAAAAAGTTTGTCTGGTTTCTCAACTCTGTGCAGATTGTAACAGATGAACTCTGGTCCCTTTTAGCTCTATAACTATATGAGTCTATGATATGTGAAGCAGTAACTGCTAAAGGTGATAATGGTGGGAGAGTTAATGGGCATGTACCACTGACAGCAGAATAGAATGACAGGTAACAATCTGGAATTAAGGGAGGGGACAGATACTGAAGCCGAGTGAGAACCCAAAACACCAGCAGTTCAGGGCCATTTAGTATAGGGGCAAGCAACTCTATAGACCTCATTAGCAAATGAATACATCACTACATTACAGCACCTAGCAACAAAACTGATGTTCACAGTATTGATCTGAAAATTCTTTAAGAAGTCATTATGTTCAGTGTTCTCGGTTTAGAAGGTAGGGAAGCATTTTATGCATTTTATTTTTTTAAAATAAGTTTTATTGATGCCTTTTGTTCTTATATCACAGCCATTTCCAAACGTCCCATCCTTTTCCCCAAAATGAGGCCTTGCATATGTAACAAATTTTAGAAAGATTTTTTAGTCAAAAATGATTAAATAAAGTTTTCAGGGCTCAAAAGGAAAACATCCCATTGTATGGAAAATTATACCCCACCATAAATATTTTTTGAATGAATAAATGATATGAAATAAATGGCCCATTATAGTACCTTCCATAGATGTAAAGCCCTTTGATGTCATGGACAATCTCTTATTCACCTTTGCATTGCCTATGGCAACAAGTACAGTGTCTCCCGTCTAATAGGAGCTTAATACATGTTCTTTTAATGAATGCAATTGTTCAATGAGCTCAAAGCATTACTCAAAATATGTCTCAGGGTTAAACATTGTTTTTGGAAAACTGATACAGAGAGGATTAAATCCCAATCTGATTTAACAGCTTAGTAACAAAACCCAGAAGAAGAGACAGGTACCCTCCCTCCCACATCAATGTTCTACAGTTGGGGAGAAGGGCATTATTACCTTAAAATCACTCTGAACTGATTAAACACTTCCTGGACTTGTCGGAGGTTAATGATCTGAGGAAGAGAGAACAGAACAAAGTTTAGACTACACTTACTGAGCTATGTCGGGGGCACAGGCTGCATCTTTATGAAAGAAATTTGGTTCCTTTCGCTAGATTGTAAATTATTTGGAGTTATATATTGCATAGACGTATACCTCAACACAGATTTGTTTGTTGTTTTTCCTTTAACTACAAATTGACACAAATGGATATGTTTTTTTAAAGTGGATCTGAATTCAGGACTGAAAAATGCAACCCTACGTATGCTAATACAAAGTCAAAATAGAACTGACCCTTAGAGTCCACATGAAACTCCAATGAGACTAGTGCTTCAAGGCTTTAGATACCATTTATCCTATGAAGCTCAATGCTACCCTAAAAAGCAAATCCATTGACTCCCCTGATCATTTGCAAAAAGAATATAACCTTTCTCCAGTTTGGCAGATATGGGCTGCCTAGGTATACAGGAAAACTTAATTAATGTCTTAAAAATAATAATTAAAACACTTTTCATGAGTTAAAAACAGAAAAAAAAATTAAAATGCCCTTCAGTTAACAAATAATGAATAAAAAACAATGGAATTAATTTTTAAAATTTCATTATTTAAAAGAGAATGTTAATTTAATGCAATTTTTTTTATTGCCCTTTTTACTCTAAAAATAGGGTTTAAACTTAACATCATTTTTTTTTTTTGAGGCCTGATTTCAGTTTTTCCTTGCCCTTGGTTGACTCATCTTTGGCAATTTAATGTTTGTATATTATAATATGTGTATGACCCAGCTTTTGAAGATAGTCTTAAAACTAAAATCCATTATCTCCCATGCCAGGCCTCATGGTAAAGGAGTTGTCACTCCTCCCACCTCTTCCCCTTTACATACCTCCTTTCTGTAAAGGTTCCATAGCTCAAAAGAACCTGTACTTTACCTGGGCCAACCTCCAAATTCAAGGAAATTTAAATAGATAGCAAGGAATTTCGGAAAAGCCTTTTGGGCACTGATAAGAGGCATACTCAGGAGGGGAACCATACTGCCTGGGGAACTCACCACTTTTACTGCAATTAACCCCTCCATTGGAGCAGCTGTTAAGGCAATGGAAGTCACAGCAATGGGGTCTAATTTCTCATGGAATGTGTAGAGAATGCCCCAAATCCATCTATTAGCTAAGCAGCTTGTGAACAAAATGCTCCGGCCTCCAAGCAGCTCTATGAAAATGCTACTCACGTCAATTTCATCCAGAGATCCATCCAGATACCTGCGAACTTGAGAATTAATCTCAGCTATTTGGACTTCATCCATGGGATCATAGGTGACCATCACACGGTTGGCCTTAAAAGTGAAAAATGTTTCATTAGAAACAACGGAACTCAAGCCAAATAAACTTGTCATTTAAAAGTTCAAGAGAACTGATCCTTGAATACTAGCTGGTATCAAGGATGCATCCCAGCATACTATGATGTCATGCAAGTATTATCTCCATTTGACAGAGGGGGAAACTGAGGCTTGGAAGTGAAATGACTTGCCCAGGAACACAGGGTTTGTCATTGGCAAAACTGAGATTTGAACTTAAGTCTTTGATCTCTAAGTCTAGTGAATTTCTCATTAAATGTCCTCTCCTTAATTTAGTTACAGAGTCAAAATATGAAACCAGATTCTCTAAGTCTATGTCTAGCACTTTTCCCATGCTATAAATAGGGAAGTAGGGTTTATTTAGCGCTCTAGGGGATTCTGTGGCAGAAGCCCCTCACTCAGAGGGAGGGCACTGTGGATGCTCGGAACGATAGGTAGACAAGACACACCAGACACCATGAAAAGAGGACAGAAATGAAAAAGGCTTGATGAGTGGAGGATGCCCCTCAGTCCTGCAGTGAGTCCCCCATCGGCCACTGTGCAGGCCTCGGGCAGGTAGGCAGGCAGATCCAGCGGGAGCAGGGGTAAAGAGTTCTTTACCAGACTGTCATGTATGGCTAGTTCCTGTTTTAGCAGAATCAATTCCTTCTCCAGGTTCTTCACCATCCTCTAGCAGGGAAATAAGAGAAAAAAGACCATGAGAAACGCCTT